TTTTTCATGATTGTACTAGGCTAGATATTGAGATAATATAGCTGACCTGGGCAATTATGTAAAGCACTTAATCTTTTTTTCATGTTAACGTGAGGCCTTAGACGCCATTCAAGAATAAGGAGTCGCCTTTGAATTGAACATTTTTGAAAATGGAGCAATAAATTAATCATTTTTCATCTACTCTCGAATCAGATCATCAATACGATGAGAAAATAGCCTGCTAGTAAATTTGAATAGTTTAGAGAATGGTAACTATTGTCAAGATTAGTTCCTTTTGGGTCAAATTTGATCCGTTAGAAAAACAAGACTACTATACGAAGGAGATGGAGACGGGGGTTGTGAGTAACGACCAGTAGAGCTGACACTGCTTGAACTGAGGTCCTCCAGACTGGCTAAGGCATGACTGCCACCTTAAAAAACAATAGAAGTGAATGAAAGAAAAGCCGTCAGAAAAACCATATCAAAGGGCCATTCATAAGATACATAACGGTGAAAATCGAATTTTTTCTACCTCCTCAAAGTATACTCGCAATACAGGTCTGCGCCCCTTAACAAAACTACATGACGCTCAGTTTGACTCCCTTAAATTAATGTTTAGCGAAGAATTTTGCGTTAAAAATTGCTCCCTCTAGATTTCTCAACTTGGATTTTTGAAACCTCTCTCCCTCTGCAGCAATATGTATTTTATGAACAGCCCCCGACTATTTAGAAAATCTAAAAATCTGCATAGCACCTACTTACCTGTATTGCTTCTGTCAAAACAACATTGCTCTCCTATGTTGCTGCAACATTTATTGCATTACGCTTTGGAGAAATAAAAACAAAAGCTCAAGAATAACGCAACATTATTGCCTTAGTGTCATGAAAATAGTTGCAGTATAGTGTCTGTCTCATATGGAATCTATGGACTGTGTACAAGGAATGATTTGGACAAAGAGCACACATGTACCTATGGAGGAACAAAATATGTTCCAAATTTCAAAGAATTGTTTCCTACTCTATTTAAATAAAAAAAAAGAAAAAAAAGAGAGCACTGCTTGACAGTGTTCCTTGATGTAGGTATTGAGTGCATGCCTGTTACGAGGGAAAACATTTCAAACCATCAAGCTGTTTAGCTTTATACTTTTCAGAGTGAAATATGCTAAAAAAAATTCTAAAACATTCTTATAAATTTCACTCCTTCTCCCCACATTACTAAAAATGCAGAACTATGTTGAATTACCTCTCTCCAAAAATGAAAATATTTTGCCTAATTATTTATTGCTTAAAAGGCGATTCATTTTGAACAAATTTAAGGTTTGAGTGCCAATTAAAAATTAAAGATTCGCACTTAGGATTAGGTACCACTAAGCATATGAGAAACTTGAAAAACTGGAGGATGTAAATTAGATAGAGCCATAAAAATATATTCGGTTGATGGAAATTGTGTCCACTAGGTTCAAACTTCAATCACAAAACTTGCAAGGGCCTTCACGGAGCAAAATCTGAGGGCTTACTTCGACCATTTTTTAAGAAATCTTTAAGAGCCTCTTCAAGCCCTTTTTAACCTTTTCTTCCTTACAGGCCCCCAATTCACTTCTGGTGCACTTCTTTGAAAAAATTGGAACCAGACTGGCCCTTAGCCCTATGTAGACCTGATGGATTTCGATCCGTCATGCATATGTTCTACTTGGAGGGAATTGAAAAAAAGGAATGTTTCTTCAGAATCTGGTCACTTTAACACTTAAAATCCAGTCTTGTAAGAAGCTTTAGATGGTACTTGAATGAAGACTTTGCTTTCTGCCCCTAAAACAGAAGGAACTTTGGGCAAACGCCTACTGCCAACTTCTGCCAAATTCAAAATAACATCCCCTTTAAACTTAAAATAGGAGGAGAATGGGGGGAAAATGGAAAATAACCCAAAAACAAGTTATACGGGCTTCGATGTTATCAGGATCTACAGTTTTACACTCCCAGTAACTGAAATTTATTTATTTGTTTTGAGAAGCGGCATTCATTCAAAACATTTTACACAAAAAGCAAGAGGTAAAAATATCGTCTTCAGTTTGAGTTTAAATTTTAAACTTCTTGATTCAACAACATTTGGGAGCGTTAATTTTTCACCTGATGACTAAGGAAAGCATTGTTGCAGCATTGAGCAAGGAAAGATTGCAGCTTGATCTTTGAAATTTTGTATTTATCGGGAGGAAATGGATGACATAGGTCAAATGGCGAAGCGTGATTGGTCGGCTACATCTTATCGTTGCTTTGTTGGGTGGAATGGACGACATACTGTTGGATACTCAAGAGGTGCATTCCACCATCCTGCATCCATCCTGGTCGTCCATTCCACCCGACAAAGCAACAATAAGACATAGCCGACCAATCACACTTCGCCATTTGACCTATGTCATCCATTTCCACCCGACAAACACAAAATTTCAACAATCAGGCTGCAGTATTGTGCCACTCATCCTTCTATGACTATGAAATCCATGGGTCCTCTCAGGTTACTGCGACTAATGAATTCAGGAGAGATTTATTCACAAGTAGGTACGGTCAAGGCTTTGCAAGCAGAATCCATCATAATAAATGGGTTCCATTAAAAATTTTATTGCATGCAGACGGTTTGCATAACATTTTTTGCTTGAATTTTTAAATTGAGAGCCGGTATCATGGGCGTTCCTTAAACAGCACCTTTTCTTAGGATGCCCCAAAATGGTTTGCATTGTAAGAAAGGGAGGTTTAAAGAGATGTTTAGCATAGTATCATAATGAGGAGTATTTCAACAAGTCTTTAGAGTAAAATTCTATTTAATAAATTTAAAAAAAGAAAAGCTTAAATTTAAATTAAATAAAGAAAAGCTTCAAACCGCCAACTGCTTGCCGCAATCACGACCAAAAATCCGAGTTTATGGCAAACTGCCTGATATCATGATAAAATTTGGGATGGATTTAACTTTTTTAAAGTATTGACCAAAAAAAGTCATTTTCTTCAAAAATTGCCTCATAACCGCTGTTTTGCTTCATGCTAGCCGTAACCAGGGATCACAAGATCAAGTATTTCTGCACCCCTCGGTGAGAGGAGAGAGGGTAGAGGGTATGTGAGGATAAAAATCAGACAGTCAAAGCTATGATAAATAGATCAAAATTTTATTATGCATTCACTGTAATTACAAAGTAATATTTACAAGCAATCTAAAATTGTCATGATGATTTGTTTGAAATCATGAACTTAATTACGCCCACACTTAAACAAATCAAACAGATTGGGAGTTAAGGTCAATTTAGAGGTTGCCTAGGTCTGCGAAGTACGTCTAAAGTATCAATTTGGTTGAAATTTGGTTTCTGTAACGGGTATGCTTGCGGTACATGTTGAAAAGTTCAAAACTTGATTTGAGAATGATACTTGCAACAGCTTAGACTTGAGACATTTTCCAGCTTTTGTGATACTTAAGTGAGAAATTGAGTGTAATTTTTCATTTTTCTTCATTATCATTACCTATTACTTTGTCAAAACATGCTAAGACTGTCAACAAGATCAAAAAGGTTTAGTAGAGAAGGACTTCTTTCCCATGTAGCACTACATTATGAGAATGAGAGCTTGTAAGCAACTTGGTTTACACAGACATGTTGTACTATTGAATTTAAATATTGAATTTTACTGGTATGATCATATTTAATTTGCAGTGGCGTGGCGTGAATTGCGATATATCGATTTATATGCCGTTTAAACCCATGGAAAAGGATCGATAGATAGGGTGTTCGCAGCGAACACCTTAATAATCGATTCTTTACCATAGGTTTAAATGACATAACAATCGATACATCGCAATTCACGCCACGCCACTGTTAATTTGGTGATAAGTGAAAGTTAAAACAGACGATTTAAACAAAAATTCGAAAGATTTGAACACAATTTTTGGTACACGAGGCATCATATGAGGGAACGTCAAAATTTATTTATTAGACTCACTGGGGCAAATAGTCTTCAGAGCTACGAGCAGTACACAAACGGAGACATTTTTAAAACTTCAGGTTTGTTAGTCTCTTCCAGTCTTAATCTTCTTGATTAAAATTACATATTACAGTAAAAAATGAAGTATCAACCATACATCTTTCAACGATGGAGCTCTTACAAAGATTTGTTAGGAGCAAATTTAGGAAGAGATGAAAAAAAGAAGAAAACTTGATAATTTTTACAGCATGCTTGATTGAGACACTGGGTGCAGAGAGCGCATTTCTTGTTTGTGGTGTCTCAAAATCTCCTCTAACATTTCATCCATTTTGATTAAAGCAAACCAATGTACTTCATTGTAACTTTTACTTAATATTCTTTATGATTTTACGATGCTGAAAACATGCAATTTCAGAAAATTCACCGGACAGTTTCCTCTCTAAAATATAAGCTAGCACCGGAGATTCTAAAACGCAACAATGAAAAATGCCCTTCCTGCACTCAACGCCTCAATGATGAAATATATATAACATTTAAACCGTTCAAGAGTGGAGTAGCGGGAGATTTTTCAGAAAAATTATGATTATTTTTCACTTAACTTTAAGATACTTTGGATCAAATCCCAAATGAATACTCTAAAAAACTGGAAGAAAAATATTCACAATATCCCTAAAAATTAGTATTTTGTAGAGGGAGATTTGGCAATGTCTGAGGGTTCATACAATGGTTTCCCTCAGTACAGCAGAGTGCTCACATAAAAATACCACCAGACAAACATTCTAAAAAGACAGCAATGATTGGTTTTATAAATAATAAAGTATTTAATAAACGTAAAAATAAAAATTCCAATGGAGGAAAAAAGAAAAATTCCTAACTGGATGAAAAATGATGGGTAGACAAACTGCATTGCAGTGTTTGAACATTCCATTCTTTTCTTTATCAAGTATTATTATTTTTTTTAAAAAAAAAATTGTGTTTATTTTTAGTGTGAAAATATTTTTTGAATTTTTAAAACAATGTCCAGCACAAGGCAAGCAAATTAATCAAATAATCTTAAGCATTGATTTGGCTTAAAGTTTTTTCTAAAAATGTAATACCACAGGAACCTCTCATATGCTGTGATTCATACTACCATGTTGGAGGAAAACACTGCAAGAGCATTCAAATTTTGCCAAGTTCCCTTCGATAAAAGTATCCATTTTGTAGGAAAGTTATTAATATGTTTCTTTAAAACTGTCAGATATTTTAGGTTTTTTTGCAGACGAAATTGTCGGAAAAATGGGAATAATATATTAACAACTTTCCCAATAAATGCATATTTTATCAAAGGAAATTTGGCAACGCCTGCAGATTCATATAGCGTTTTTTCTTAGCACGTTAGCATAGTTACTGTCTTTTTTGCTTGAGCAACCTCGTTGGATCCACTAAGGTGAATTTAATGAGCCTATGAAAATGATGCAAGATAAAGAGTTTGTCTTAAGAAAATAAATACCTAGCCACCAAAAGGAAGTTTTATCAAATCAAAAGGACCCCCGCCCCCCTCCTCCTAAAAAAACATATTTCTTTGATTTCTTACTTACACCTATTTTTTATTTTGTCTTCAGGCTTAATTTCTCAAAAAACGTTTGGTTCCGATGATTGATCTATTTGCTTAAAATAATTATTGGTGAACACATGACGTACAAATACTTTCATTTTAAAGAGTTAAAAAAATGCAACAGAAATCCACAATTCTTGATGAAAACGCAGAAAATATAAAAAATAACATTTTAAATTTGTTTACAATAAAATATTTTTAGATGATTTTGAATATAAGTGATACAATAAAATAAAATGTTGGATGAAACATGAACAAGGGCAAAATAAGAATTGACTCTGTACAGCTCATGCAAGTGGGTTCTCCACATCAAACAACAAGTGACTGAAAGTTGTTTTTCAGCTAACGATATTTTAAGGTGAAACAGATTTTTGAAACTTTTTGAAAAATCTGAAACCCCGCACTTGTATGAAAAGAGTGCTACTTGATTGGATGATTTGAAATTGAAACTTATGATCAATGAACCAACATTCATACAGTTATGAGTTTAATAGCGTCTACAGGCATCTTACTTGATGGAGTGTTAAAATCTAAAAATAATACTGATGGAAATCTTAACAGGGCGACAAGTTGGTGTTATCAGGTAGATAATTTTATACATATTGCCATGGGACTGAATTCTTGGTAATCAGCTATAAATGTTGACATCAGTTACATTAAAATTACATTCAGATAGTTATATTCACAATCAGTGCTATGCAACAGTTGTATGGTCTATTGCTGCATGATACAGAGGATCGATCTAAACAGTAAAGTACCTAATTGGATGCCGGCACAATAGAGTCAGAGAACATTAAGTTTACACAAAAAACATTCTTCATGACTGCTCCTAGCACTTTTATGTACGAATTTTACCATAAGTGGATTGGTAAAAAATCAATAGCACCATCAGAATCGAACATAACGATTAGGTGTTCTGATTCAAGAGTCAGTTTTAAACGATGATAAAGACAGTTGATTATAAAACTTGATTCCAGTTAAAAATTAAACTTTTAGCATGACTCATTATTCAGCTGTAATACTTAACCTTATTTACCTTTTAGATACAAAATTGAAACAGCGATGCTCAAAACTTATGGTCATGTCTAATTAACATTTAAACACCCTCATGCTTAAGAGAGCAAAAATTTGCACTAAGTCTGATTGCCTTGAAACAGTCACATTGTTTTTGCGAATTTGCTCAGTCCTTCAATTTTACTAAATTTTATTTTTCATCAAGTCAAGTCAATTTTTACATCCCTTTCGAAAATTTTCCCTTTGAATGTTTCCAAACATCCTTTTTTTTTGTCCAGAAGAAATAAAACGACCAGCAACAAGCACCTGATGGCCTATGAAAAGTTTTCAAAGTTGATGCTATCTTCCATCCATTAATTAACTAAATAGTCAGCATTGCGCTCTTAGTAGTTACATTCAGCAAAATTTACGATTGCGGATCAATTGAAAGCCAGCTCAGGCTACTGACATTCTGCTCATTTTTTTTGGTATAGCTTCCAAATTGTACCTCTGATTATTCTTTGGAACTTATGTTTTAAAAAGTGTCTAGAGACTTTCTCGGACGAAACAATACAAGTCTAAAAATTGTCTAGATTTTAATTAGATCTAATTCTACAAAAAAAGCATGACACAGTACCTTGATGTTTCAGCAAGCACTCAAACTTTAGAGGCAGATGGTCTTTCAAAAGTCAGTCTTTTCACAGTAGCTATTTAAGTTCCCATGTAGCAGAGTTTTAAAAGTAGAAATTTGACAGCGATGAATTTCAATTAATATGCTGTTTAATGGTCAAAAATCGGGTAAAAAATTATTTTAAAAAAGCCATTTTGTGATCATAAGATGCAATGAAATAGCTAACTCAGAATTAAAAATTAGGCTGTGAAAAGAAGTCTACTTGTGAATCAAAAGTTGCTACTCATGACTGGTCTGCATTTTGCAGGCGGGAGGAAATTGTAACTTAACAGAAGTTTTACCTCAAGTATCAAGTTATTGATGGCCAATGTGTGAAACCACTGGAACCCCCATAGAAAACTAGACAACTTAATTTCTTTAAAACTTCTTTGATTTTTTTTTTCTCTATTAGCAGAATATGCCTCAGAAATTTCAAGCTGGATGATTGACTTGTTTCTCTTTGAAAAGTAAAGTAGGAACCAAGATATTAAAACATCGCAATGGAGGTACATGGTTTTGCACTTTATCGATCGATATATTTTTAATAAATAACCCATTTGTCATTACTAATTCCAAATTCCTGCTACATGGGTTTCTTTTTTTTTTCTTGTCTTGATACAAACTTGATATGTTTTGCAGCCTCAAATAATAAAAATTAATAATACTGACACTAACAACTGACAGCTTTCTCCCAATTTATTGCCTTTCTGTTGCAGAAACAGTGATAAATAAGCATTAGATTAGAAGAAGCCATTGCATTAATACTTAAACCGTAGGAGTTTAAATTCTCACTTAAAAAAGGATTAGAATATTTTCACTTAAGTTTAAAAAGCCAACTTTCTCTTGATAATGAAGATCACAACTGAGGTGTTCGGTTTCTAGTTTTTGAAAGCACCGAAATTTCTTCAAATGTTGAGGGTTTAGTGCAGCAAGGTTCTCAAATAGGTTTTTATTTATTAAACTCAATAGAAACGAAGCAATTTAATGCCAACCCCAAAAATTTATCCGGAACCAAAGCACCTAAAACTTTTAAGGAATGGAGTAGTTTTTGAATCTGCATAAGATCAATTAGAAGGATTTCTTTTGCAAATTTGAAAGAAAACATGAAATCTGAGCAGTTGACAATTTAAACTGAACCTCTTGAAAGTTGAGGAAGGGCATTTTCATTGAAGACATAGTTTGAGATACAAATTTTGGATGAAAGAAATTTTTTGGGATCACCGGAGGATTTAAAACAGTATTGGTTAATTTTAAAGACCCTATTTTAAAGAAGTAGCATCTGAGCTGTTGAACCATAAGATAATTATTTTAGATCACCCCCTACTAAATGATTTGGTACTTAAAAATCAGACTAATCAAAGCAGATTACCATAAAAAAACAGCTCAAAATTCAGTCACAATAATATACCTAACTAAAAAAGATAACAGTGGCAGAGATAAATGATACAAATCAATAAATACTGCACATATAGAAACATGCGCTACAGACAAAATAACAAGAAATAAAAGTTTACTATTCACAAGAAATTTTTGAAAAAAGTATCAGTTGTAAGTTTCAACAAGAAAATCATCAACTTTGTCATTATTACACATACCTCAATGAAATTCATACAAACTTTTTCATGGCTACAGAAAGTTGTACATATAAGAATTACTTTAAATAATTGCTGTAAACTAACAATTAGTATTCCTTAATTCACATTCTATTCACAGTTTAAATATTTAGATTTTCATGAACCCACAAATACTGGATATGATGAAGGAAGTGATCACTAAGAGCTGATTCATTAGAAATTACTAAGAACAAAGATATTGCCTCTAGCCTGATAAGTATTTTGGAGGAATCACATGTTGCACTTGCATTGCTAGATTGTATTATTTGTTACATGTATTATATTGATTTAAATTTATTTAATTGAAACTTGTAGCCACAGAATTTATTAATGGATAACAAAATCAGGTATCTCCGTTTGCATTGTTGTAGAATTCCTGACATACTTTATAAGTTCCTTGGGAAAACTGATTGACAGAATTTATTGAAAATTTCCTCGATTTTTCTTGTCTGTCAGCAGAATATTCTGTATTTTTGACCTATAAAGTTGGCTTGTTTCTCTTTGAAAAATTAAATGGAGAATAAAAATTTTGAAAACTGCAATTAAGATACTTGATTTCGCACTCAATCCATTGTTATGTATGTAAATAAATTCTGATGGAAGAAACTCCGAACAATCACATTCATCTGCCAATGGAGCAGACTAGATCATGCATTTGAAGAGTTCCATTCATTTGGATCTTGCACCAAAGAAATCAATAAGCTTCTTCTCGTTTCAACACTCCAACTTTGCTGAGAGAAGGTATTTATGAAAAACTTTATCACAATCAACAGACTAATTTACAACATCTGAAATTCATGTAACTGGCAACCAGGAAGGAAGGGTCTTCATCTTCTGTTGTCAACATTGCAAAAGAAGCAATAAAAAACTAAAACTGGTCCAAAAAGATTTTGGAGTAGTGAAATAAACACTAAACTAACTTAACAAAAAACACCTACGTCAATTTGACTCATTATGTACCTGTGATATACTTGAAAATAATTCTGAGAGCCAGTAAGATAAAAAACTGATTCTACTTCTCAAGACTCGTACTTTCTATTACTTAATTTTATTACATTAATTAATTTTTTGAGAGATTGGTTTGAATTTTTTTCTGCAATTTCAAACTAAAAATAGGATTTTTACAGAATCGTATATTCTAAGGTCAAAATTTCAAAATGCTCTGCGAATACTAATTTTTGAAATTTTTTGATGATTTTTGGTTTAAAATAACAAAAATAATATTCTTTACTTGTATCATGATGCTACGATCTCTGTCTCTCTTTTTGTGAGTTTTAAGACCTGTTTAAGACCCTTGTTTTAAGACCTCTTCACAGAGCACAGTTACATTTGGATCTTCTTCAGAACTGTTGATTAAAGGAAACTGCGAGCACTTGTAACATAATCATAGGTGTAACTTAGATACAATCTTTGTAATCAGGCTAGAGACAAAGCTATTCTTCTTGAAGAGCTTGAGAGGAGAAAAACATCATCTCCTGCCGCGACCTTTTCTACCTTTTTCTTTCCTATTTTTTTTTGAAGACAAGGCCGGCACTGCCTCTTTTTTCTGAGGAGCGCTTTCTGCAATACACGGTTCACAGAGCGTCACTTCTTCTGCCACCGGCATAAGTTCGCTAATTTTCAACGGATCATCGACCTCTGTCACCGTTGAATCTACTGGAGCATCCGAAGTTTTGCACGTCCTTTGGGGAGAGTCTTCCTCTCTCAACTCTGGAAACTCTTCACTGGTATCTTTGGCAGTGTGCTCAAAAATGTTCACTTCGGCAGTATCATCGATTTTTGGTGCGACAACTTCATCACACAGGTTATCTTCCATGATCATCGACGTTATCTGAACGTAATCGACACCACTTTCATCCTCAGAGCAAAGCGGGTGCGGAATAAAAAAGTCACTTCCTGAATCGAAGAGACTGTAGGGTACAATGGGCCCAGATGAATCTGTTTCTACACTCTGTTCCCTACTTGGGTCATAACGTACATCTTCATCTTGATTTTCAAAACTGCAAGGAGCAAGATCATCCGTTGTGAGAGAAAGAAAGTCTTCGTTCAAGGAGTTGAGCTCCTGAGCGTTCCACTGCAATTCAAACTGTAGTCCACCGGTATCAGACTCACCTGGCGTTGAATCCATGGGCAGCTTGCATTCGAAAGTCGCCGACATTTCCATTTCTTCTACATTGATTGATTCTGGTTTTTCTATGGTAGCACTGTCCACTTCAGATATGAAGTCCTCATATGCATTGTAACTTTGGCATTCACCAGAGAGTTGTCTTTCCTCACTAGCCACAATCTCTTCGACATTATCAGAGTTCTTGGACGAAAGATGAGGAGACTCCTTAGACGTGGCGGAGTCAGTTTCACTAGTGCCTTTCGAAATAGCAGCATAGGACAAAATTGGCATGACCTCTACCTTAGTATCTTCTTTAATAGAAGTACTTGGATTGGTTTTTCCTTTCCTTCCTCTTTTCTTTTTGCTCGGCTTATCAGCTGTTTTACTTGCGACAATGTTTGGCTCGCTACTTTGAGGCTCTTTTAATTGTACAACCGGTTTTGTGACTGAACTTCCAGTTTCAAGAACAGTCGAATCATCTATTTCCTGTTTGACGATATTGTCATCAGGGACTGGCACTGTATCATTAGCACCTGCTTGCTCAGAAAGCGGTGACTGGCTGATTTCATCGCAAGTACCTTTTTCAGGATCAACTTCATCAACAGGAGCATGCACCAAGGCACTTTGACTGACTTCAGTGCTAAAATCTTCACTTAAAGTCACATGCGACTCATCCCAATTTTCTTGAATTTCAGGATATCTTGGGTCGGATACTTGTTCCAGATACGGATACGTAATTGTCGTTTCCAAAGGATCAGTGGAATCTTCCGGTCTCTCTGACTTCAGACCCTCACTTTTTTGATTTGATGCCTTTCCTTTCTTAGACTTTCTATTTCCTCTAGCTGGCTTGCTTTTTTCATCGCATTTCTTTTCCACATAACATGGAATTTCAATAAACGGTTCAGGTACAGGACAAGTTAGAGAGCTTTCATCATTACATGAATCTTCGCGCTGCTTAATAGGTACGCTCAGAGGCTCTGCTGGTATTTCTAACACTGAGGGGTGCCTGAAATGCTCATCAAAGATAGAGCTCATGACGCCATGAGATTTTATTATTACTGGGTCATCGGCACTGATTGTTTGCTCTTCAAAGCTGATACTCTCAAATTTATCGTCCAGTGTCTCATCTTCTGATGAGCAATTTGTTATAATAACTGCATCAGCAGGCATACATTTTTCCAAGCTACTACTACTGTTTTTACAAGGCTTTGGTAAACTAACAGGTTGAACTTCCTTCTTTTTCTTTTTAGATGTTTTACTGGGATTATTTGGAAGGGATTGCGCATCAGTGGGTGTTTCAGCACGTTTTTCTTTTTTCTCGCTGAGATTGACAGTGCTAATGAGAGCCTCTTCTCTTTCTGTTTCAATACGGGGTTCTGGTAGGCTTAAAATTTCACTGACAACTTCTTTCTCTTCACTCTGTTCCTCTTGTTTAGTAGATTCTGCAGGAGCTTTATTCTGTCTTCCTTTTTCTCTTTTGCTTTTCCCTTTACTGGATTTGCTACTTTTACTAGGTTCTTCAGGAGGTACGCTTCTAGAAAGCTCACATCCTGATTCCTTAATACTTGAGTCAGAGATTGAAGGCGTACTTTGAATCACCTCTGTGACAATTTTTTCAGTTTTAGAAACTTTTTCTGCTTCGGGAGCACTTTCTTTGGATTCAGAGGTGGTTGCACCACCAGACCGGATTTTTGAATTGGTTGTTGAGTTGGTTCTTGGAACTAACTCAACAACGGTAACCATTTGAGAGTTGTTTGTGTTGACATCAACACTGTTCGAACTGTTGCTCAGGTTTGATTCTATAGAAGTTTGCAATTTATCGATATAAATTATCTTCTCCTGCAAGCTTATGTCTGAGCTAGACTCAGAGAGAGGTCTACTTAAATCTACGTTGACGGGAGCGTCAAAAGAAGATGGCGAATGACTAGATTGCTGTTCGCAACATACTACCTTACTTATTATACGATTCGAATCAGGGGTCTTGATACTGGCTGCCAGAGAAACTCCTTCACTCAAAGTGAGTACGGTTCCGAGGGGGTTCACTTGCCTTGCCATTACTGAGGCCCGGGCCCTCATAGACCCGCCACCTAGCCAAGAAACACAAAAACGACCATGAGTTATCTCTAAACACGCTTTTCGGAGTACTTTTCAAGGGTTGTGTCATCAACTTCCTACTAGTGAAAGAAATTTCAAAAACTTGCGTCTTGTACTTACTTGGTACCGTGTTTTACCGTGCTGGGATTCAGTATTGAATCTAACAGATGATTTTCAAAAATTTACAGAATCTTTCTCGGGTATTCGTGAGATGATACATGGGGATTTTTTTAAAAAAATAAAAAGAGGGGGGAGTACAAAGAAAATAGGCTTTTTAACCCATAATAATTTGAAGAAAATTTATGCTGAATTTTATGAGAGCAATTTTCTTTTTTTTTTGGGGGGGGCCTTAAATAAAATGACACCTTTTTGATATCATCAGATTGTTTGGTCAATAATTTGAAGAAAATTTATGCTGAATTTTATGAGAGCAATTTTCTTTTTTTTTTTGGGGGGGGCCTTAAATAAAATGACACCTTTTTGATATCATCAGATTGTTTGGTCATTTTCATTGATTGCCCCTACTTCTCCATAAAAAAGAAAAGTTTCAAATGAAAAACTTGCAGTCACGCCTATCTAACAAGAAAAGAAACACATCCACTATACAAAAATCTTTCTGCGTTCATGACATAGTGTTTTTCATTCATCCCTTCAAAAATACATTTTCCTAAGTAATTTACATGTAAAACGAATGTATCCTTAGCGGCAACACAGTCAGAAAAATAGTGCAAAATCAACTAATAAAAGAACGAAAGTAATCCTACTCTGACTCAGCTTTGACCTTGAATTCCCTCAAAAAGTGGGAGAGTCAGAATATTTCTGGAAGGAACTAGTATTAGAAATCCATGCATTAATTTGTATGCTTCAAGTCCATTACATAACACAGTCAAGTTCAAAAACATGTTAAGATCATTCCAGTTATGAAAGTACAAACTAGAAACTGCATTAGGCATTAAGGTTACTTTAAGAGTACGGCTTCCGTTGATCATACAGTCTTTGCTATAATAGCGTGCTATTTTAACCCCTTGTTTATTGGGTGTGTATGAGCAGCAGTCTGTGCTTTAAACGATGCAATATTAAGGGTGTGGGTCGATGCCACTACACGATTACTGTTGTTTAATAATAAGAAAGCTAAAAATTTCAACCTTTAAAAAAGATGACTTGATACAGTTATTCTATCTTGTTATACGGTTAACACTTGTAAGTTAATTTTTACCCTAGGAGAGATATGAAGTATTTCCTAAGCACTAGTGACTACAAGACTACGCCTTGGATCTACAAACTTAAGCCAATAAAGCATTTTTCGTCAGTAATCTATGAGATGCTATTGCCTGGTCTTGCCTTTTATAGGTGTCAGTTCTCAGAGCACAATGTTAAAATATAAATTCTTCAAGCCGAAGTTTCATATTTTTCGCACAAAAAATGAGCTTAATCCTATCGTTCGTGACTTCAACACATAATAATTAACTGTGCTATGGACCATTTTAAATTTATGTTTCTTCAAACAAATTTGAGTGTTAGCAGCTGCATGTTTTTAAAAATACACTAATGAAAAGGGCAATAAATATTCAATATTATATAGTTTTTGATGAATAGTCACCAAAATGAATTCTGCTGAGCTCTTCACTCAAGTCAAGTGACTAGAAAAAAATGTATTGCAATTATAAACCCCCATCTCCTCATCCCACCGAGAAAATTTTTATTTTTTTTTTTATATTGCTTTCAGAACCTAAGAAAATTGTTAAAAAGGCATAACAGGAACTTTGCAAACACCAGTATCAAGAGACATGGATATTAAAATCCGGGATGATGTGGAATGAAACTTGACTTACAGCAGAGGCTAAACAGTACATTTTTTGTGTGTTCGCAAAAGTTTTTGAAAAATAAATTAATACTGTGCAGGCATACAAAAATCTAAGAGACAAGAGTGTCGACCGCTACTTCTAGGTGAACTTTGATGGGTTTTTCATGATTTTCAAGAGAATAAAAAAATTTTACAAAAAAAGAATTCTATTGTTTTACTTAAACCAAATTAACGTCACACTATTGGTTGTTTGAATGTCTGTGTCTGATTGAAACTGATAGTCGTGTCTGCGCTGATGCATGAAATGCAAGTATGAATATGCGTTGATAGTCTAGAGCTTATTGGAGAAATTCTTGAGGAAGGGAAGAGAAAGAGGTAGACAGAATTGAGAGAGTGATAGGACAGAAAAATAAATTCTATTTCACTGACAACATACGAAAATAACTTCAAAATTTAGATGCGTTGAAGGGCGATTATGAAGAGGCACCGAACAAAGAAGATGAGTTGGACTAAGAGATGCTTTTGAAGTATTCTGCCGCTCCCATAAGTTCCACATTCGGTAGGAAGATGAGAGTAGCACATTTTTTTGAAACACCATGACTTTCAGAAGAGAGCAAAAATTCACTATCACTGAAGGAACCACCACGAAATGGAAAAGTCTGATTTACAACTTTCACTTTACGACGTTCGAAAGTTTGAAACTGGAAATTTCATTTGATGAAGCTCATACAGGGCAATTTAGGCCACCCTAGAGTTATCATTCCTGATTACAAAGACTTTGTAAAATCAGCGGGTTGATTAGTGACATTGACAGTCTGGACTATAGACAAAGAGGACGAATGGAAAATGGAGTGATCCTATTGGTGGAAGTAGGTGGTGCCAATGGACGAAAGAGATAAGTTATAAACTTGCTAATGGCAACCCATCAGAAACCCTTTATTAAGTCAATCATTTGCTCCCTTAATACACAGCAACCACCCACTTCTACCAATAGGATCGCTCCATTCTTCCTTTGTTTTCTTTGTCTATTGTTTAGCCCATCAATTCCAATAACGAGCAGATCAAATTATGGTACCCGGTACCAAGACTTGGTCTTGAAATAATATTTAGGAAGACATTTTGGGGAAGGGGGAATAGTTTCACACTCTTATCTACATTATCCACCACGCCGTTAAAAGGCGTTTGACCTGATTGTCTTTGCCCCCCCCCCCCCCATGTCATTTTATCTGAAAAGGTTGAAAAATTGTTCAATAGTATTGATTATTCCTTAGAAAGAGTTTTCCAAAGAGAGCATATTTTATGCACAATAAGAGGAACACTCCCTGAAACGATGATATGCCATTTTCATGCAGAACATGTTCGCCACAATGGTTCTGAGTATGAACCATGTACATTATCAAGATTAAAGCAGTAAAGACTTTGTATTAAGATAAAATGCAGCACAAACAATGAGGTTGGTACTGCAGAAAAAGTTGATAATGGAATAAAAGTATTAAAGCCTATTACAGTCCCTGTGAGAGCAATTTAAACATAATTTTCTGTCTATTTTGTTTCTTCGCAAAGAACCTCACAATACTGGAGTTGAAATCATCATTCCATAATATTGAATAGATTTCAAGAAAGTTATTCATCTATTCGTTCAGAAACACGATCGTTTAAAAAAACCTTTCTGCTTCATGAAGGTGGCAAGAAGGTTTGCTTGGATTCATGACACGCGTTCCTAACCTCACTCTAACAAATCCCACGTCACCTAAAACCTTCTATCACACGATTACAATTGGAATCAACTTTCTGCTAACCGCTGAGTGGATTCTAAACAAACGTGAGTGTCCTCACCACCACAATCATTTAAATGCAATTTCATACTCAACATACATTATGTTACGTCTCGCCTGCTACCGAATTAATTAATTAATTGATTAATAGTAGAAAGCTTTGGCATAGCAAGTACAAAGGAGAAGGGTAATTACCTGCGTCTGAGGGGATAGTCATTCCTGGCACTTCTTGCATCGCATCAGCGAGATCTTCTTGCAGGCGGGAATCGCCTTCACCCTCCATTTTCTCAAGCTCAGCACCGCACATGTCCAGTAAGCATGGAGATTGCTCGAAACTACCTGAATATGCACAAAATACCACTCATTTAGTACACAAGGTTACAACCTCGGCACACAAGATTTCAGGTGATCGAGGGAAGACAAGGTATCTAGTAGGCAGTAGGGCTGTGCGAATAGTGAATTATTCAAACAAAGCGAATAGCGAATCATTTTGCCAATGGAGATTGTTGCATGTTGCATTTGCGATTTGACTGTTGATTCTTATGTAAAAGTTCCCGAGAAACACGATGTGGCCACTGGTTTTCTCTGAAATTAACTCCCGTGCTCAAAAAAAGCTCTCAAGTAAAGGCCAAAATAGAGGGAATATCCCACGATATTCTGAGAGTCCACCTCTACATCAAAACAAACTCTCCGTGGAACGATAAGGAGCAAATACATTGACAGAGCTGCCACTTTATTAGGGGACTCTAAAACTGAAAGCACGGCAACACTGCTAATGTATTTGCTCCCTATCTTTGCATGGAGAGTTTGTTTTGATGTAGAGGTGGACTCCACTCGAAAGTACTCACATTTGTAGCCTTATTTATCAAAGAGGATCTCAATTGGAATTTTAGCCACTTTTCGATAGAGTGTATTGTGATTAGTTTGCATGACAACCAATTTCCACTGTGGGGCATGGACATGCAGAATCTAGCACAGTAATGCTAGGGATAAATTTTCCTTTGCCTCTTGGTATGACAATGCTAATCACCTTTCTACCACAGAAGAATGATTCTAGACGCTAAGTATGCGATTCTCATTGGAATCAAAAATAATGAACCATAAACAGGAAACACGATTGGTCGAAAACATCACTTTCATAGACAGTGAGATTATAGGTTTCTGTTTGTATTAGGTTCAATTGTGACACCTTTGTTATGGGCACAACCAAAATGTAACACAGACTAGGATAGCTGTAATCTCTGATAATCATAGTCTACAGCTTTTATCCGCTGCACTGTGCTAAAATGGGCTTTTGAACTTCTTTCTCAAATTTTTCTGACATGAGAAGAGCCAAAACTCAAAGACACATTGGCAGTGAATTGTGATTCATATAAATTGATCTCACAGTTTTGAGTTTTCTGGATCAAAGTTACAATTTTCAAAACCTGAGTTGCTAAGGTGGCAAATAATAGTAAGGAAAAGGAGAATCTGGTCTCTTTCTTAAGATTTCCTGAAATTTCCCTGTTTTCCCCTACAATGGGTAGACTTGTTCCACGACTTTTCCTCATTTTTCAGCCTTGTAAACACTGAAAAATAAGGATAGGATGTAAAAATCATAAAATGAATTTCAGAGTCAAATAGCATATCAGTTCTGGAACTCTCACTGCTAAGAAAATTCTAGGAAAGTTAAGGAAAATTTTCTCCCTGCAGATAAGATCTCTTTTCGCAGATCCGGTAACGTAAGTTGAATTTCAGTTTAAAGTCACCTTATCAAAGTATATAAAAATAAATTTGTTGGGCAAATGATCAATAAAAAAAGAAGAATGTCAAAGATTGTGTGACCTCTTTTCTTCTAAACAGCTATTTTAAATCTAAGAGTTTTGAGTCAATAAACTGCTCTTGTGATGGGAGTGTTTTGGATGTTTTAACTTTGAGAATTGCCAAAAAAATAACAAGATTCTACTCAAAAGCAAAACTTGGGCATTCAATAATAGCAAAAAGAGGTTGTCTGATGTGTATTTTAAAAACAGTATCTTGATGAATATTGCAAATAAGAACTCAGCCCCTGAACAGATCTTAATAATTTTTTCTTGTACCTAGGATACAAACATCGAGACATGATTTTGTAACTGAGATAACTGACTTATCATTGTAGGTTTACCAGATACAAATATTCCTTTGCGTTCTTGGTTTTAAAGAACTGCAATTACATAAAAAAAATGTCAAAATAAAAAGTCAAAGTCTCTACGGATCTGAGGACCTTCTCTACCAAAATGAATCAAGAATTATATTTGACGTGGTAAAATACACATTATCAAGAATACTTACTGCTAGATCCACTTTCAAGGAGGACTGGTACGATCGGATTATGAGACAATGGCATATTTACAGGACTCGATCGATTTAACCTTGATCCACAATCTGAATCCATGACAGGTACTGCACCTCTGTTGACAAAAGAAAACGGCAACAATTTGAGGTGCTGATTTCAGATTAAAGAATAAAATAAGAGTGGTAGGAAAAGAAAAAAAAACTGAACTTAATTAGTATCAGCTTAGTTCAGGATTATTTTATACAGTTTCACAGGGCAGTAGCAGAAAAGAAATAATTTGAAATGGTTTCCACTCAAAATCTATTGTTTGAAATGTCAAATCTATTCTGGAAAGAAAATAAAAGTAACTCAACAATTATTCCCTGATGGTAGCAACCCTGAGGTAAAAGGTTTTTTGTGTCTTCCAGAAGAAGCGGTCATGAATTTTGGTTGAAAACAGGGGTGGTGGGTTAATTGAATTTAGGGGAAGGCTTGGAACTTGCTGCAATCTTGAATAGGGTCTTGATTACTTGAATATCATGAAAAAGGTATCTTTGGCATAACTTCCAGCCCTTTAGAACCCAATCGGAACAAAGATAAAGGTGGCGGGATGTTGTTAATGAGCATTTTCTTACCCGAGTGAGGAGCTGAAAGTTTTGAAGGTAAACTGGGGTCCCATCCAGAGTCTGCGATGGGGTCCAGCATGCGTCACAATTTCCACTTGAGACAACCACCTTTCATCCGCATCTAGATTTTGATATTTGTTTGAACTATTGCTTGTGAACGACCGGCTCATGAGTAACAAAGGATTATTTGCGTTCAAAGGTGGTTGAGTATTGCTTGGACTATTAACTAACGGCCATTCTGCTTTCGCTTCGACCCCTAACTCAATTTGCGTATTATCACATATTCTGTCTTTTGTAGCTCCTGAAATGATAAAGATACAAATAGAACTGATTAGAGCGTGTCTCCACTTTGTAGCAAAATAATAACTATTTTGGAGTGTTTGATTTTCCCAGCGTACGTTAAAATTCAGTAGAAAACGTAAATTCTCTGTATACAGAGAAAAAGTTCATCTGAGCATAATTTTCAGTCGAAAAAATATGCTGTTTGAGGCAACAGTAGCAACAAAATCCGAAAAGCCAGTAAGAATCAGAATGCTAGAATTTTATTTTGGCTCATCTTGATATTTTCCTGATTTTTTCTGATGTTTTAAATGAAATTTCCTGATTAGGTATATCCAACAGAAAATTGACACTGCTTTGATTTTACAAATCAACATACTTTAGAAACTGAATAAAATGTTTCACTTCTGCAAATACTAAACTGCATGTGATAGAAAAATGCTTGATGCACTCGAGATTTTTTGATCCATGACCTATTTTCCTGATTTTTCCTGATGATATCAAATTTCTGATATTTTTCTATTTTTCCTGTTTTTACTAACGCTAGACACCCTGAGGATGCATTTTGGGTCAATCATCAGCACAAAGCAGTCTTCTGATTTTCTTTTTCCATGCTTGGAGAGGTTTCTCAATTGTAAAATTCTTACTGCGATCATGATTTATGCTCATTTACGTTCCACCGCTTGGACTTTTAAGTGATTTGATTAAACTCTAGATAGTTTCATTTTTCTATATTAGAATAGATGTATTCAGTGCAAATTCATGGCAAAAGTAAGAAAATGTATCGAAAAGAGATAAAAATTTACTCACCGACTACATGTTTTGGCTCGAGATCGTATTGAATAAGATTAGCATGGCACGTAATAATAAACAACGAATCAACGGCTCGCTTCATTGATTTATTGTTTAGTATCGTTTCTTGAGAGGAAGAAAGCCATGCTCTGGGTGGGGCAAAACACGCAGAGACTTTGATCATGGCGGATACATCTTCATGGCCACGCGTTGCTGGGATTCCTGGGGGATACGTGCGTAACTGTGCTAGGGGCGTTATGACTACAGGACTAGGAAAAGGGGGCAGACAGGGATTTGGAATTGCGAGCATCGTAAGTTGCTGGTTGCATTCGTTGAGGATCGGGCTATTTCGACCATCATTTGTCAGGCCAGCACTTCGATGAAACCTGAAAAACATTGGAATGAGATACTTAAAAATGAAAAATACAGGGAACAAAACACAGAAAAAATTAACACATCGGCAAAAAATGAGGTTGTGTTAAAAAGTTGCAGGGCTGATACTTTGGACTTAGAAGTTACGCAGTATTAAGTTTACTTTTTTATACATAGAATACTCTGAATTAAAAGAATTCCCAGATGGACAAAAGCATTGTTTCCATCAAATACAGCATTGAGAATACATGTTACATCAATGGCTGAACTTGAATGTATTTTGGTTTGCAATATAACAGACTTTCCTCCAGACTCAAACTTTTTATAGGAAAAACTAATCAATGTAACTTCTTGAAAATTTCGGTTGTTCTTCTCATCTGTTTGAAGAATATTTTATAAAAATTGTGAGCGATAAAGTTAGCTTGTGTTTCTTGAAAAAATTAAAACATGGAAATGAAGATAGTTGGTTTGCAAGTATATCCATTAACATGTAAGGCCTAGGAAAAATACTGACAGTCATGAATATACCGAAAAAGTAACCTTTCGGGTCATATGACCCTTAAGAAAAGAGTAGGATGACTAAAACTTACACATAAACTTTAAGGGATGTAAAATTTCCATTGCTTTCAGTAGAGTGAGGCTCGTTTAAGCTTAAATGGAATGAAATTAAAAAAAATAAGATTGAATATACTCATTTAAATTAGTTTCCATCTCTCTGGGAAAGAAGACTCGCAGTCATAGTACGATAAAGGAATAAATTAAACAACTGCTTTGCAAGATTAATGCAGAGCTATTAGGAATCAAGACAAAATTGTTTGCCTCTCCAGACTAAAGTGCTTCTTCATTTGTATGTACCTGAATCACGACACCCACAAGAAGTAATTATTCTGCCACCAAACAAAAATGTAGGGCTGGGTGAATATTAAAAAATCTCGGATATTTGAGTTCAAATATATTTTTGTAATATTCGATTTGAACTCAAACTTAAAAATCTCAAATTTTCAAATAAATGGTTGTACGTTCGAATATTGTTCCATACCCTACAAAAATGTTAAGAGAAGAAAGTCCTCATACTTCAATGCTAAAACATATCAACTCAACTGTCATTCTGGTTAAAAGGGTGCTAAGAAAAAGCCGAAGAGGTATTTTCCTTACCTGGAGAGTTTGTTGACAACATGTGGAGTCGCATGTGTTCGAAGTCCGACAGATCCTCCGTAAGGGGTGATAGGGAAAACATGGGTGGTGCCTCGCAAAGAGCTCACCGCAACCCACCGAGAATCATTTGAAAACGAAATATCTTGGACCCTTGCAGTAGTATCACCTCTGTAAAACAAATCAAAAATGAAATCAGAAATGGAAAAACAAGGAAAAGAAAATTTTTGAAATACTTCAAGTGACCCTTGCATTTCTTCAATCCACTTTTATTCAATTAAGTTTGGAGAGCTTTTTGTGATTTGCTGTCTCCATTCACAGGGTTGCCACAGAATTTAGAAAATGAAATTCCCTGAAATTTCCCTGATTTCCCTGACACATTTTGGTGAAAATCCCTGACATTTGAAGATATGACAGGTGGTTAAGAAGACATAATTAAAAATAGTTTTCAGGCACAATTTGTTGTTCGAAACCTCAAACCCATTCAAGAAAGCAAATAAAGGTGATTTAACACATTTTTCCTGACATTTTCGTCATTTTCCCTGACATTTTTTCGGTTTTCCCAGTATTCCCTGACTGTGGCAATCCTGCTTTTAAATAAAAAAAGTTAGGTGCGAGTTGCTTTCTCTATCCTTTGTCAGTTGCTTGTAGCTGTCCGGGGGTGGCCGCCCGTTCCTGGCATATGCAAGCAGTAGTTGCTGGAACTCGGTTTTCTCCCCGTTTTGGAAGCAAAAAAATAAAAAATAAAAAAAAACCTCGGTATTGAATAAGTTTCTTACAGGAAGACATACACACTGCTTTTATTGTAAATAATCAGCATTACTTGATTCTATCACTGATAAACTAGAAAATAATATTCTCAAAAATTTCTTATGGGTGTCTGAGTTTTCTTTTTGGAGACATAAATTTCCAAAAGCTTTGCACCGATGGCTAGGAAAACTTGTGAGCTTCAAAAAGACAATACAAAAGGAAAAAATTCAAGTCTTTCACATGATATCCTCAAAAATTTCCCTATTTTCCCTTTATTGAAACGTTTAGGCCAAATATCTCCCAAAATTTCCCAATTTTCCCTGTTCTCTAGTCCTAAAGACACACCAAGAAATAAGTTGCTCTACAACACTGAACAAACCTGTGCAGAATGTAAAGATGGTGAACGCTTGCGCTTGCAGACCCTGCGACGTGAGGATTGATGCGGAAGACGTGAAAGCGATGACCTCTTTTATCCGCAGTTACCAGTAACATGCCGGAGGGGTCAAAGTTCATGGCGACTATTGGTTCTGAATGGGCGATAAAGTGTGCGATGATCTCACCACCTCTTCTATCTTTTGTACTTTTTCCACTGGAGCTCTAAGGGAGGAAAATTAAACGTTTAAATTTCTCAAAATCACAAAGCTACGTGGGCTATCTTATGAATACCCAGACTTACGCTACATTTAAGAAACTAAGCCACCTATCAAGCTGATTATGGTGTTATACTAAAGATGGAGTAAAAATCAATGAATTGAGACCTTGATCAACTTGTTTCAGCAAAAATTGATCAAGTTATTGCAGTTTCAATACAGCGTGTGAACAAAACTCGCCTGCAAATTTTGGATATGTGCAACAACAATAAATGTTTTTCTTCAAATTTTTCTTTGAAATTTTTCTCACATTTTTTTTCTCCAACATAAAACCATTTGTCTACATCTAACATGACCAAGCAACGCTGTTATGTTGCTGTACGACTCGAGACATTACCATGGCAGTTATGGAGAAATGTGTCAATCGGTCACTAGCAAGGCAAAATTTAACAAGAATTCTGTCTGCAGGCATTGTTCTGAGCTTTGAAAAAGCCATGATATTAGTATAAGAGCACCATTTCACACCCCATTTGCAACGAGTTTTGACATTTCTATTACCTCTACATCTAAGATTGTGATGATCCCTGGTTGCAGTGAGTTGTTGCCGTTGATAACTGGCCCTGTCCCTGTTAAACTGGACGTGACCGAGCCACTGAAATCCCGCAGGCCTTTGCTTAAGGTTTTGGCAGCTTGTAGAACAGTCGCTGTGTACGACTGTACGCCTTCTCCTTCCGATCCCCCTCTTGACCTTTTCATTAAAATCAACTGTTTCTCTGCGTACGCCAACCATCTGAAAAATGAGACATTTTATGCCAATTCTTAAAAATATCAGTTGTTTGAACCAAGCTCAGAAAAACAAATTTTTCCTATTGTGTGTCAACTTTTTCTTTGAATATATGTTTTAACAACCCCCCCCCCTCCTCCTCCTCCTAAAAAATAGAAAGAAAAATTCAAAAACGAAATGAATAAATTCAGCTAACAAGAGCATTTTGTGGTTCATAAGCTACAAGAGGCTAGGTCTGTCCCGAAAACATAGTAGATCGTATTGATTGAGGGCCAACCGGTAGCGGCATTGCAAAAACCAGTCAGTAGCACCATTGCATTTCTTGAGAAATTTTACCGAAGAAAAAGCACTTGAATCAAAAATCCCTGTGGAATACAAGAAGTCTATTTCCTTACTTTAGCTACAAGAGACTCTTTCTAGAGACTCTTTTCCTCAGATTTTCTTCTATAGCCCTGTAAGTACCTTGTTGACAGATTGCATTAAAAATATTGACTCTTTGAAATGAACTTAGGGAATTTATTTTTGTCAGGATAATCTACACTTAAGAATTAATGAACACGATACCTTGAGCCAAGGGCCACTGGATTCGGGTTGATGCTTGGACTTGGGAAGCATGTTGTAACTGTCAACTGGTCCTCCAAAGTAAACGCATCAAACACGGCTATCCGCTCCGGAAACACGATTGCAATGGATCTACGATTTGCTTGAATATCACACACTTGCGTTTTGAATTGAATGGCCTTGACCTACATTTACAAAAAGAAAAGCGTATTAGATTATTACAAGGTAGCCATTCATTTTTGGAGTACTGTGCTCATCTTCACTCAAATTTGTTAATTTTTACACACTTCAATAATTTGAGTACAATAATGAGAGCGCATTGTTCAGTGTCTGAACTTACTCCTTTTGCAAACCACAGTGCCCTCTTACTAAAATACTATGATCTCTTAATTTATTTTTTCGTGCAAAAAACCATTGCCATCTACTAAGAAGCATTGAGACACAAACTTATCAAAGTAACAATTGTCCCAGATATTGAATGCTAGAAGCAATGTTCAAAGTATAAACAATTTTTTTTTTTTTTTTATCAACCTAAGAATTTTCATCAAAAGGGTTTAAAATAATCATTTGGTGGCTTTGCAAATTCCAGGTTTTCCATAGGGGTCCTTCAGAAAAATTGAATAGATTTTTCCTATTTATTAAAAACCCAGGTAAGTCCAAAAAACGTTAGAGGAAAAAAAATTGAATGAAAAATAAATTAAAGAGAATAAAATAATAAACCATTTTGGAAAGAAATTAGGTAAATGCTACATCTACTTACTGAAAAAAACATTTTAGGTATAGAAACCAACTTTAAAAAAAAATTATGTTTTAAACATATTTGTTTATTGACTAAACATAATGACGAAACAATTTCTAGAGTTACTTGTGGTAAAATTCTGAAGATGGCCACTTCAATCAACCTACACAACACAAAAAATTATGGACCTTCTGTACATTTTGCAAAACTGGTCATTAATTATGAGCCTCCTCGAAGATGTTCACTCTTTTTATGGATTTTCAGACTTCCTAGATCTACAGGCACCCTGTAAATCAAGGAAGATATATAAAAACTTTTTAGACATGGAACACATACGGAGTAATTCAAAGTAACATCACCAGACTAGTATCTTACCTGTTCTCCAGTCCGCAGCGAGATGAAATTGACCAGACAGAATGGATTTGATGAGCCGGCATTGTCACATAGAGCCATCAACGGACGTTTGTGAGCAAACAAATCCTGCTTGCGGCATGATTCTGAGGTTGAACCAGACAGGGGTGTTGGCAGTAGCCGCAAACATTTGATGACTGAGTCAGTCAAGGATAACACCTCTGTCGACTCTCCGTTGATGGATATACTCCACACCTAAACAATTAAGCTCAGCATTATGACCTAGTTACTAAATGTTTAATCCAATCCCTAGAATTGACAAGTACTTATACTTGTCAAAGGCATTCTAGGACAAATCTAAATTAATGAGCACTTGGCAGGGGATCCAGCAACTGTATGTTGTAAATGAATAAATGAATAAATCAGGGTTTCTACTAAAACAGGCGGGCCAAAAATTAGTACTTTTACAGTACTTTTTCAGTATATTCCCAAAAATTCAGTACCTCCTCAATAGAAAAATTTCAGTACTTTTTCAGTACCTCCATTTGACGAAATTTTAAAAATTTCAATAATTTGAATTGCTTGCTCAAATTGAGACAAAATTAAAAAAATTCCGGACCTTTCACGGAATTTCCGCACTTTTTCAGTACTTCCGAACCCCCCTTAAAAAATCGGTACTATTTCCAGACTTTCCGGAAATTCCAGACTTGTAGGCACCCTGTATATTGACATTTTTGTTAATTTAGTCATTTCCCAACAGAAGGCATTACTCAACAACACTCACAGAATGTCAGAATGTTCAGAATTTCATCAATTTGACACAATTTTTCTACTGCAGTTTCCGTCTCTTGTACAGAAATTTGGTTTCATAATGAGCAAATACTTCGCCTATCTTCATTTTTTTTCCGTAAGTAATTTTGTGTTTGACTTCATTAAAAAATTGTAAAGTGAAAATAAATTAAATACTTAAGAAATAAAATAAAACGAAATAGATCTACATAGAGCTATTTTTCTGTTGTTTTCTAAAAGAGTGTATTACGTATGAGTTGAACGGATTTAACCAAAATCAGTCTACTGTGTCAAACATTGCTTACTTTCTTCTAAAGTTTATTTTATTTATTTTATTTTTTTTTTTTTTAAGAGAAAACCAAAGAAGGTGCTGACTTAAAATTTTGTAAGCAAATTTTTCATGAAATGAAAAGAATATTCAAAAGTGAATATTGGGAATGGTTGAAATTTTGAGATCTGTACTCACAGGCAGAGAATCAAATAAGATATTGAAGAAATAATAAAAAATCTTGATCTTACTTTTGCACCAACATGGTAGCCTACTATCAAAAGAAGAGGAGCATTCTCATAGGCGTCAATATCTGCTGCCTCAGAGAAAATAAACGGATCAAATAAGTCTGGCCGTTCAAAGCGAGCCCAAGTTATCCGTTCTTTATTTTCGCCATGAAGAACGTTCGTGTATGCCTAAGGAGGGATAGAAAAGAAAAGGATTATTAGAATTTACAACATATAAATGACAAACTCTGAAAGAATGATAAATCCACAAAGAGGGAGGGAGTGATTTTTCAAAGAAAGCAGTTAGTTGGGATCAAACTTGAGGTAAATTCATCCCATTAATTAGAGCTCTTAATAACTGAGGCGACTACTGGAAACAATCTAAAGACAAATAATGTGTTTTGAGAAAAAGAAATTTAGAGAAAAACATTTTGAAAGTTTTGTTTTTGGTAAATCACAAAACAAAGCAAGAGAAAAATCTATGATTGATGTTTTTGGATGGCTTGATTCATCCCCTAGAAGACTGTATGGTCAGTTTCACGATTGTTTTTTTTATCCAGCACACTGAAATTTTCAGAAAAATGCAAGCAACAATTCTCCCATCAAAAAATGAAATCTTCAAGGTAATACTGAATCAAGAAAATCAAGATACATTTCTTTGTGCTGAAGACTAAGTAATTAGTGTTCAATGATGTTCCGATAAAAATGGTAAACTCCAGCTCATGGAGGAGAGATTCTAGAAAGTAACATATGAATCATTTTAATCAATCTGAATTCATACGTAGGGTGAAATAAGAGAAGATTAGCTTACCGGAGGCACGACTTCATGAATGAATCCAGCTACACTATCGATGATAGATTTGTCGGTAACTGGTTGCGGTAAAATGACTGTCTGGCTGGCTTGTCTCTGTCGGGATGACTCGGCAGACATTTTAGTGAACTGGAAGAAAAATGTAACAATTTTGTTAAAAATGTTAAATGTTAAAATTGCTAAACACTTTGTAAAAAACAAAAACGAAAAAAGATTTCAGACTCCAATATTTGAACAATTTTGTATGAGTTTTCCTCTTGGAAATACGAGTTTTTTTCCTACTTTTTTCATACCGGTCAATGCCATTAAGGTATTGAAAACAAGGCACATAAAAAGGGTACATTTATACGACACACGGTTTTATTCGATCACTTAAATTAGAGCTCCAGCTCTAATCTTTCAAAGACCTTTAGAACTAGATCTAGGGGTTATGATGTTGACAGTTCTGGGTTCAGGAGCTAGAGCTCAATTTCCTAATAGAATTTAAGAATGAACATTTTCAAATTTAGAAGTCTTGCTGAAATTCTAAAAAAAGCTTGAATAAACCAGTTCTCCAGGCTTTGAAATAATATGGGTACACTCTATTTCCAAAAAGAGAGGTCTTACGCCAACAATGATATATTTCGGAGTTCCAGAAAAAAATAAAAATGGGTATCTAGCAAAACCAAAGAGCTCAGCAGAAGACAGAACACATCTCAGTTTTCTTCTGCCTAAATACGGAGCCTGGTTAAAGTCAGCAAAATAACAATAATAAAAAAAAGAAAAAAAGTTTAGAGCCCTCTAGGCACTCATTGTTAGAAGACTGTGGCAACTTTTCAAAAAACTTTCAGATTATTGAAGAAAAAAGTTGTTAAATGAAAGTATTGACAATGACAATGATTAACTGGAAGATTAAATAGGAATGAAAGTGGAAGAAAAATTGGAAAATGGAATTGTTGAAAAAAAATCTTATGACCTAATAAGTACCTACAATCATTTCCGAACACTTTAGTAAAAGAAAAACAAAGCAAAATAATATCAAAACAAAAGAAGAGAAAAATAAAAAAAAGAGCAAAGAAAATAAAAACATAGGGTAAGAAAAATAAAAGAAATAGCATCCAAATGGTTGCAGGATGAAGTTCATCTTTCTTGTTCTTGTTGATGTTTACTTTGAAATATTAGAATCTTTATTTTCCCTGATATAGGACAGTCCTGCAGTGACTGAAACTGAACTAGTTAGTGCTTTTACAGAAAATTGAGCAGTAAATGATTTTGTAAACAGCAGGACGATACATCTATTTTCCTACAAGGCTGATGACATAAGTAGTAGTCAAATTTGATATTTTCTAGCCTGCCCAAAGGAAATAATTTGCAGGCATAAGAGAGAATTCTTAAACTTAAAACTAAAGCACTGATGGAAGTCCCTGCACTATGAACAAGGATCTAGAAGGAGGTACTTAGAACTCAGTTCAATCTGAATTGAATCCTCACAGAGCAATAAACAGTGCATGTATGTATTTGGTGAAAATTGAATGTACTTAAAGGAAATGAAGACTTTTGTGGGTAGGTGGGTTAATTCTTCTCACTTGTATAACTTGGCTTAAGGGATTAACAAGACAAAAACTAATGCACTTAGAGTTTTTTTTTCTTTCCTCTTTTTTCTCCTTACACTTCTGTAGCTAAGCTTTGATAATTTTAACAAAGATTAAACTTTAAAAACCAAAACCTTGTTTGACACAGATTCCTTACTGACACCTCAATACACTTCGTGTATTCTCCCTAACTGCGTGAACAAAGGAAAACTTTCCATTTGAAAAAACTAATAAAAAAAGAGTTACACTTTGATAAGAGAATGGCAATGCAAAAAATTAAGAGGAAAAATGACACAGATAAACAAGAGGTAGGCACAACAATAGTCTCACAACATTATTTAAAAATTTTCCAAGCCGACCTGCAAAGGCTTCTTTTGGGAAAAGCCTACAGATGTCCCACAGGCAAGAAATTGCAAGGTAATAGTAACATTCATGAAGTATCAATGCACAAAAGGTGATTAAGAGGTAGAGAGCAATTATCAGTGAAATAGAGAGAACCTTGGGGGGCAGTAATCTTGGTTTTTTCATTGTCAGGCGAAGCACAGTTGAGAGAGGAGACAAAACAAGAAAAACTGAAATTTAACACATGCATGACTGAAAGCACCTGCAACAATAGTACCTGTGAGAGTGGATTTCTTGAGTCATCACAAAAGCAACTATTTCGAAAGCAATACCAGGCAATTTTTCTCAAAATGGTTTGGTGTTATCAATTGACAGCCACCAAGCATCTAGCCTTTGTTGCTAGAATTTTGGGATGATGAAGATTGATTTAGGTGCTCCAAGAGAGGGCTCAAGTTGTTTAAAATTGAGGAAGAAATTCAGTGAGCAGTTTTGTATTACGGAATTATACTATTTCAACATCCAAAACTCAGAAGATAGTGATAGCAACACATAAATGACCTTGCTCTTTGTTTAGACAATAACAATAAGATTGGATGCCATTAAGACAGAAAACCAGCGAACGTAATTAGGCTAGTGCGTAAAAAGGAGTTTACTTACTTGAAACACTTAGAAACACTAACATACTACTAACACTACCCTGTAATAAACATAATAAATAAAATGAATTTAAAAACGAATAAAGTTAAATATTTATGAGCTCAATAAAAGTTTGAAATGTCAAGTCAACTAAAAATCTAAACACAACTAAACAGCTGTTTAGTGACTTCAGTGATGCATGGCGTGATTTGCAAGTCGAGCTTTCAAGAGACTACACTAGAATCTCTTTTTAAAAAAATATTTTTTTTCTGTTTAAGCGAGCCAAACCCTCATATTTTCGCGGCTTTGAATTTACCAAACAATACTTATCATGAAAAATTCAAAGTGAGGCAATTTTGGGGGCAATTTCAGTCATGAAGTATTAGTGCGTCGTTATCAGTTGCATAAAAGTCTCACAGTTGAAATTCCTGAGGTTGGCAAGCGTACCGAAGATGCCATGTAAACAAAAACATAAACACGTAATCTGTAATCTGTCAAACGTATTCACTTTTTATGTCATTTTAGTGTTTTTTTCCTTCAAATTTTCATGAAAATTTGCCATCTTTATGTTCGCATAATGTTAAAACTAAGGCTATTATATAAGCTTCCAACTATTGTTCTATTCATATGCTCCGCTTGTGTCATTTTATTATTAATCAGTGTCTTAGAATTACGATGGATTCAGGACGAACACCTGAAATATCATCATGATGATACAACTGTGGCTCCCAAAACAGAAAAAGTTACCAAAGCCTCTAATAGTCTCTATTTACATGTACCTAAATATGTAGTGTTTGATCGACTAGACAGTGTAAGTTCATTTCTTACAAACCTCCTTCTTTTCTTAAGATAAGAAGAGTACTTGCAAGCTTCCTCTTAGTCAAAGCGTACGAAGCAGATGTCTGTGACGGCAATCAAAAAGCAAGATGGGAATGCCTATGATGATTGATGAATTTTGCATTGGATATCTCGTTAATTGCTGTAGTACATCGCACTTTTAGTAGTGATTCGTCCTGGAATCTAGATTTGTGTCAGCTGGCATTCACTACATCGTTTCAAATGTTAATTTTTTTCTAGCAGGCAATCAAATTTTGCGGCATTTTGTTCCATTTGAACAATTAGTTCAGAGCTACGTAAAGAGTCCTACACGTAAAAGGAGAGGAGTAAAGTCGCATGTGAAGTTATCATGTCATGATGTCGTCACATGTCTAGAGTCAAAGAACCATAAGGAACACATATTTGAGAGATCTGATACTGATAGCATAAAGGCAGCAAACAAGAGGTACAATCGTAGAGGACATTAAAATAAGGTTTAAGGCTGGGATTGTCTTTTATCCTGCATCTTAGGATTTCAACTCCCTAAAATTTTGCCAGTAAAGACACCATCTCCCAACGATAAGGAATAAATCTGTATTATATTTGAAATCGGCACCATAGGTGAATGACTTAAGGCTACACATATATTACCATAACCCAATCAAATTTTCTATTTACAGACGGACATGAGACACCTCAAACATGTGTTTGAAATGTTGGATTATTTCAACTGCCAGCGGACATCCTTAAACGCCTCGGACTGGGATGTGCTGTGGAGTTTCTATTATCCTTTCAGAATCCTCTCAACTTATGTAAAGGATATGAAGCCTTACCAACTAGTAAGTAATTCCAAGTCTTAGAGCTAAGGAAATTCTATATCTAGTGCACTGTAAGTACAAAAATGCAGCAAGTTCTTGGCCTTCCTTTGTTAATTTACCCTCCTCTATTTAAAGAAAGTATCCGAAATTTTTCAAATAACACAGGATTTAATTGTAAAGCAAATCAGCCTCCTCATTCTTGTATGCAGGTTGCGTAATTTAGAAGGCTCATTACCCATATCTAACTGTGCCTTCTACTTTCTGCAAGTGGCTCTTAAATGTTTATTATCAGAGACAAATTTGAAAGCAGACAATGGTCAGTATTTGGGCGATGTTCCCAGGACCAAAATTCCAGTCTCTCAAGCCAAAATTTAAACTAGCTCTGTCCATCCTCTCTCAACCCTGCAAATTCAGAAAGTAGCATTGCCAAAGATCCTTCTAAAATTGAAATATTTTATGGCATATATTGGGAATCGAACACCCATCCGACGATAATTTTTACTTTTTTCCTTTAGAGCCGACAGTGAAATAATCAAAATTCGTTTCTCCTGTCTTTATTTTGCCATGAATTTAAGCATGCTGAAACTTATTGCATCTGCTATTGATTCATTTTTCAGGTCAATCATTTTCCCGGCACGGGTTACATCACAAACAAAGTAGATCTCGCTTTGTCAGGTATTGCACACATCCCACCAGCATTTAAACTACCGAACCAAAAAACTGCTCTCTTGGACTATGTAAGTGATCAATTTAGATGATTCTGTCATGCATATAGTTCATGATCCCATGCAGAAAGGGTAAAAGCTGTTTTATAGAAAAGGGTTTCTCTCAGCATTTTTATATCCTCTTCAGGTCTGCCTCATCAAGATGATTCTTTTCAAAATACGCCGAAGAATGTTGTGTCATGAAAGTAGTTAACTTTATTTGGTGTTCGAAATGTTTACTCTTTTCAGATTTTCTTTAATATAAAAGAGAGTAACCGAGAAGTTGCGGAAATTAGGGAAAATACTGATGATTCAGTTTGTAAACTTTAGCTCTTCTAGCTAACTCTATAGCTTTATTTGCATCTTAGAGTAATGGGACAGTGACAAGAAATTTCTGCAGGGTTGTAGTATAATTCTTTGTAGAAACGTAAAAGTTTGTAAATAAGTTCATTGAAAAGTTCAAAAAATGATTTCTAAGTGGAGAAAATGCTACTCCATTATCCTAAATCCATGATCTCATTTCATGTATTAACCAGTCCTGCATTTCATGTCCTGTCCCACGTAATTAGTAGTAATGAGTGAAGTATAAACAAGCTGGAAAAAATTACTTGAATACTACTGAAACTACTAAAATGAGTCAAAGTTGAGTTTAAAAATTTACTTGAAATCAAAGCAAGTCTTTTAAATCCTATTTTTGCTTGTGTTTGTGCGAAGCAAATGACTGGGCTGAGCAATCAATTTCTAAAATTATGAAAACGATTTCTCTTGGAATGACCCACCTATTAAGGCTGTGAAAAATCAAATGTAAAAACTTTCCGACCAATTGTGCATTTCATAATTTTGCTAAACTTTTCTAGGTACTTAATGGCTGGGAGCTGTTTTCTTCATTCTTTCTTCTTTGCAAATTTTCAAACCGGTAAATAAATTACTAACCATTAAGTTAAGGCTTTATTTTCAAATTTTGCTTCAATTTAGCTTTCTTTAACAGCATGTTTGACTCCAATGCATTCAAATTGTGAATGGAATTCATTTTCCTTTTTCCATGACGGTCACTTTCAAATGTTATCTCTCTGTCTTCCTGGTATGCATCATTTCTGCTCTATAAGTATGTGTCAATTTTTTTGTTAATTTTCCCCCGAATTTCTAACAGAAATGTTCTAACAGAAAGTGTCTCCCAAGCCCTCTAAATAACAAAGTCTTGGTATTAATTCTGTTTCCATTTATGTGTTCATAGATAGACAAAAGTTTGTCAGCAGAACTAGAAAGATAAATGATAATACCCTTCATTTTTTTTTTTTTCTTTTTTTTTAAGGAAGTTGAATAATCTGTCCATTTTAATATTTTTAAATCTTGAAGCACTCTTTTTCCATTGATATTTTATGACCTAGAACTGTTATTAATCATTGCTTTATTTAATTAAAACTAGTAGTCTTCCTTCTGGCCCTTGTGTGGTCTAATACCCTCTTTGTCCATGGAGAACTATGAAAAACTGGTTCTCTGTTTGAAACTCTGAAGACAGCTAGTACATCTAGAGATTATTACCCTCCGATAACAAAGATATCGCCAAAATTGGCATGGCAGCTCTCTTGATTTAAAAAATTACAAATGAGATAGTCAGAATACGGACAGTAATGATTTTAAAGTACTTAGAGAGAGAGAGGGGGGGAGGGAGAAAAAGAGAGAGAGGAGTAAAATTTTAAAAATTAAGTAAATAAAATTGAGACCCCATGTACATTGTGAGGAGGAGACAGAAACATTAATTCACGAATACTACTTCGATTCCTTTTCCAGGTAAAAAAGCATCCTCACAAGCTGTTCGTACAGAAAAGTAATTCTCATCGTGGAATCCGAATTCAGAAAGTTGAGGATTTGAATTTGAATACACCTGAAACTTTTGTGCAAGAGTTCATCCACAATCCACTCCTGGTTGATGGATTCAAGTTTGATGTAGGCATTTATACCATTATCACCTCTATTGATCCTCTGCGGCTATACATATATAATGGCGACTTCTTACTGAGGTAAATCATATCTGTATTTACAACTGAAAATTGTACTTCTCATGTTGCAAATGGTTTTGTACAAAAATTGCCCAAAAATACACCAAGCAGGAGTACTGGAGGTTTTAAATTTACAGTTTAAAAAATTGAGTTTTGAGAAGAATGTATTTGAAGTTTTAATTTACCTATTGCTGGACTCCAAATCTTCTAATTCAACTGGTAGTGTATATTCTGCAGGTAAAGAATCAAATTAGGCATTTTGTTAAATATCTAGGCAAAGTGTCAAACATTCTCACTAAGATTGAAATTCGCTCTGACTGTAATTTTTGACACAATAATTACTTTTCTTTGAAGATAGGAATTATTTTTAAAAGTTTGCATCATTCTAGGGTTGCTGCAATAATTTCTAGCTGAGAAATGAACATTTATTTCGTAAGATTCGGCAGTTTTTAAAAAATGAAGTTTTTACAATTTCGACCGTTGAAAGTATTTGAGGAGCATTTTGAAGAGGAAAATACAATGATAGCTTGTAGTTTGATGAATTCTTCCTTTTAAAATGATGAAAATTCAAAAGGTCCTAGTGAAAACATACAAAACATTTTAAACATTCAAAGTTTGACTAATTGCCTATAACATACACATACCACGCTAATTTTTCTTACATGCAAAGCCAGAGAATTCCAAAATTCCTGATCTTCTAGGTAATCTGTATTATCTAATACTGTGTTTGTAAAAGTACAATTTATGCTAGTCAATTTAAAGAATTAGCATGTCTCTTTACTATTTTTTTTAAATGTCAACAGATTTTGTCCAGAAAAATATCATCCGTTTGATCCTCAAAATCTAAACAAATACGTTATTGGTGACGATTATCTACCTACATGGAAAGTGCCATCTCTTATGAAATATTATAATGAACTTGGATTCGGAATGAGAGAGTCTCTGAATGCTCATCTCAGGTCCCAAGGTTTGTTCTTTTGTTTACTGCTGTCTTTCACTTTTTACAGTTCATGATCAATCGTGTAATTATTTTGCTGTGAAAATCTATTCTCATTTTGCATGAAACCATTCAGCAAGCCTGTTTGGAAAGGTTTAAAATTATTCAGCTGGTTGAGAAGAATTTTTTTTTTTTTTTTTTTTTTTTTTTTTTTTTTTTTTTTTTTCTTTTTTTTACAATCATACAGCAAAATCTTACCAAGTTGAATAGTTGAAGAACCAAGAGAACTTTCGACTAAAACAGATTTACTCCTTACCAGCTTTACGGCTTTGCAAGAAATAAGCTCAAAATTCTGAATTAAGTAATTTTAAAACATTTTTCAAGTAACTTTTCCAAATTTTTCAATAACCAATCTTATATTTTAAATTTATTATTATATACTTATTTTATTTTAGAGTGGTTACGTGATAACGGCTGGGGTCAGGTCGCCACTCAATTTTTACTTGTTTTCATGTTTTTTCGCAGCTGAAAATGAGCTGGTAACAGCTCGAAACGTCCTGTGTTTTAATGTTTTAATAATCTTTTAGCCTTATTTACCCATATTTTAATTAATTCTCCTCTTTATTCGTATATTCGGGCTTTGTTTTTGTGCTTTGTTCTTATTTTAAATAGTACACATGAATTTTCAAATTTTATCTCTTTACACTCTACAAATCATCAAAAGACATCAAGAGTCACAGTTTTTGCAGCTCTTACTTCTGTACTTCCTTTGAAAATACAAATGAGTTATTATGAATCCTTTTTTGAAATCTGTTTCTTTTAAACTTGCTCCTTACTCTTGATTTTTCACGTATAAAATCTGCATCTTGGTGGTAATCATGGTTTGAAGCATTCAAATCCTGCCAGTTTTTGGGATGTTCTTCTGGCCCGACAGGAACATTTTTGCAAAAATTTATTGGCATTTAATTTGCAAAGAAAAAATGAAACACAGGTAAAAAAAGAAATGAGGAAAATGTTTGTGGTTTCTATTGTTTTGATTGTAATTTTCACAGGGAAGAACCCACAGAAAATCTGGGATCAGATGGAAGAAGCTATCAGACTTGTTGTTTTGAAAAAGGAGCCTCAAATATTAAAAGCTGTATCAAAGTACCCTTCAAAAAATAACTTCTTTGAAATGTTCCGGTTTGATTTTGTTGTTGATGATGAATTGAACGTGTTTCTACTGGAGGTATGTAATGACCAGTTATTCTCAGTCTACATTATTTGGGGAGTAATTGGACGCACCTACGTTTAGAATTTAAAAGAAAAAAAAGACCACTGTGCAATAATGTAGAACTGGTAACTTATGTCAAACAGAGACACATACGAAATTAGAAGGAAGCGACAGGTGCGGCGAGCAGTCAGGAATGGAGTGCATTCAAAAAACCTCTCAAGGCTCTGTCAAAGTCCAGAGTCACTTGAATTTCCTTAATCCTCCTGGAGTCTTTTGGCTGAATGCAGTCAATGCTTGCACACTGTTTAGCAAAACAGATCTACCCGCTAAAGTGCCAAAGGAAAAACATTCTATGGCTCAATTTGCCAAAAAAACTTGAGGGTAGAATTACTCTACACCCAAATATAGACAGGCTCATTTCAATAGGCTCAATGCAGATTTGTTCTCTTTAATTCATACCATCCAATTTTAGGTATCAAAGCTTCTATTTTGATACATCTCTTGATAATTTGCTGGATGATTTTCCAATAAGTTTACGCCTAAAGACGATTAATAATTAGTGTTAACTAACATCAATGTCAATTCATGATTCTGTTATGATAGGAAAGGCTGAGATAAATGAGAAAACTAAATCATTGTTGACGATAAATTTATGTTCAGCAAACATTTAGTTACGTAAAAATATTTTGTGTTTGAACAGAGTGAATCCATAGCTCAGGGAAAAAATTCCAGGTCTACACGGGCTCTCACCTAAACAACAAAAATTCTCAAACTTTTTTGCTCAGTGGCCTAGGACTATGCATCGAAAAAACTAAGCAGGAGAAAAAAATGGTTTCTTAGCTGTAAAATGATTTTAAATTATCGTTGGAGATTATCGATAAAGGAAAAAAATGCAAAAAAACAATGTCAGTCATCAATGGCAAATGAACGGTTAACTTGAAATTTGGACCTACTTTATCAAAAAATTGTTTTTCTTTTGATTGTCCATGTTATGCTCATTTTTTTACTTGCAGGCTAATATGTCTCCAAACTTATCATCAGACCACTATCCTCCAAATCAGCTGCTTTACCGTCAAGTGCTTTTTGGCTTATTTTCCATCGTCGGTTTAGCTCATTTCAAGAGGTATTGTTTTCTCATTTAATCTTAAGTGAAGGTTACAAAGGGGTCATCTCTCTTACAGTGCTCAATGTGTGATACCAAACCCGGCGTTACGCTAGTTGACAGTTGTATCAAATAATGAGTGTAGATGATCAACATGGGTTCTGACTTCTGTGCTTTGAGTGCTGGACCTGTTCAATTATTTTGAACAGATTGTATAAAAGTTGACTTTGGCAGCACGCATTGTCCTCATTGTTCACCCTAGATGCCATAATCTCAATGCCCTGTGTATGTCATGCATAATATGCACGCCTTAAAATGAAGTAAAATATCGGACGGAAGTCAAAATCCAATCATTTTGAGATGCGATTATTAACTCAATGTGCATCATATTATCGTTTGTTTTAATTTCTAATCCAGAAAAAATTGACTGAATAGACTATGGCAGTTAATTTACTCGTTGGAGGATTTTCTTCCAAAAAAAACCAATCAAAAACTTTCCTTGCAATTTTGTGTGATATTTTTAGAATGAGTGAAGAAAATTCACAGAAAGTTTCAAAAGAAATAATTCGTTAGTTTTTCTCTGAAAAGATAAAACATGAGTGGAGATTTACAACGTCATAATCTGAGATAGGCACTTTTCGGCTTCAGCCATCAATGTGTTTCGATACCAGTATTTTCAACAATTTTGAGAATCCACCTCCCACTGCTAAAGTAATTAATGCGTTGAATTAGTTTTAAAGCTCCTATTTTGTATAGTTCCACATTAAAAGGATGACTTTCAAGGTTTTTTTTTTTTTGTTCTTTCCATAGGAGAAGCTTAACACCGGATGCTGAGGTAGCATTAAAGAATATTATGGTCGATTCCAAATCTTGCAGTAGCCATATGTGTGAAACATGTATGTCACCAGAATGTCAACTGTGCATGAACTGTTTGACAGCCAGCAACATAAGAACGCTAAAACAAACCTATCGAGAGTTTAACAATAAGCAAGACAATAAAAGAATATTTCCTCCAACAATGGTGAGTGTTAGCATTTGACTTTTTTTTCTAGTTCAGACCGTGTCCAGCGGCCCAATTTGATTCCTAAACAATAAACATGGTAGATCAAGACTCCAAACAGCTTTTTCCTAAAATTGCATTTATTGAAATGCAAACTTTGAACAACCATACCTCTAATTTATTTTGATATTCCTTGCGCTTTTTGTGCCAAAATGTTCATAAAAGTCTCTTTTAAACAATAATAACAATACCTTAATTTTGAATTTCCGGGAATCAGGGTGTTCATTGACTGGGTAAGGTAGTAAATTAAGAGGAAGTAAGGGAGATAAAATTAGTCTGGGAGAATCAGGGAGAGGAAACGGGTACCCAGAAGAGTCACAAACCTCCTTGCAAGAGAGTGATTTCCTTGCATGTATGTAACTTCATAGCACTACAATACTGAGCCCTGCAGCGCTCTCTCCTGGTCTGAAGTGAATTTTTTTTACATAATCTGAGCGCCTACCGATCTGCACCGGTACTTTGAGCTGAGCAATGTTTATTTCTGCGCTTTTGATTACAAGGATTACTTAAAAAGATCAGGGAGTCCAAGGGTCAGGGGAAATGTGAAAAGTCAGGGAAAAGGGAATGAAAATTCTGCTAGATGCCCTGGAAGGTCCTTTTGAATGTCTCTGTAAACATTCGTGCACTTATTTTACCTGTGAAACATTTTGAAATAACAGTTTGAATCTGCAAATTAATTATAATATGTATATAATTATTAATAATAACTAATGATCTAAAATCACTATTTTAATAATTTTTTGTTTTTAGACTCCAGAGGAAGCTGCTGCTCCAATTGATTTGGAGGATTACAGTTCAGAGAACCAATTCATGTATCAGTGGTTTCGAAAAAAATGTCTGATGGACGTACATTGGTGCTAATAAGATTCCAACTGTCCTTTGCAATAGATCAAATTTTTTAGTAGTTATTAGTTATCAGAATCTCTTTTTTATAATATTAGACTGATTTAAAATTTGTGCTATCTTAAGATAGTTAGGATACTGCCACCTGTAAGTTTTCCTCTTTAAACGTAATCATTGTACCGAATGAAATGGGAATGTTTCATCAAAATTATTCCACTTTATTTAGACTCTTGTTTCTTGATGTGCCAATATTTTACGAACATCACTATTATTATCTATAACTTTTCAAACTGAGTACCTGATGTTTAATTTTAAATTCTTGATGCAGTGAAAAATCATAATTAAAAATAAATTCTCTTGTTCTGTTGACTCAGTTGTAATTTTTAACTTTCTCATTCTTGTTAAACCAATCGGACTATGAAAAAGAAAAAAAATGAATTCTAAAACCAACGCCTTCTTCCTTTTCACTGGTAAGCCCGCAAGAGCAGTGCTGATCAGTTAAACATCATGTTGATGATTTAAGTCATTTTCGCCAGATGGTACAGCATGAAATGTTAGACTCATTTGGTGCAGAGATGAGTCTACAAAAACAGTCTATCTGATTTCCCAGGGATCCAAATTTAAACAACTACAGCTAATCAGAAAGTTGGGAGCATGAACAATACAATTTCTTCATTGATTTTAGTTTCGCACAGTAGTAGAGACGTCATATGGTAAAAAGATTTTTGCCTCTGAGAGGACTCTGGCAGCTTTGCTTGTTGGTATATCACTTCAGTTAATGGTTAATTTTAAGTTTTATTACCTAAGGATATTTTAAAAAAATCAGACCAACAAGAACTGGATCAATCATTCGATTTTCAATAACAATCTGTGAAATTTTTCTAGCTTTTGACTTTATTCAAGTTACTTATCTAATTAGCTTCAAATTTTAATTCACTCTTGAGAGATCCCCCTCCCCCATTTTCAATAGCCTGTGTCACACTATCAATTTACTACCGCAATCACAGCACTTGACCTTAACATTTTGATGACCAGCTTTGATAGTGTGACACCGTTAGACTTACCTAATTTAAACAGGTTTGAGAGAATAATGCTTCGTTTGATCTTTTGATCCCGTATTTTACATCCAGCCTCGGGTGACTAATGTTAGAGACCGTCAAACTCAGGTTGCCTGGGCGGGGATCGAACCTGGGACCTTTTGGTCACAGGGCTGATGCTATGCAATCACTACCCTCTGGGCCACCACCATCAAATTTTTGTCGATCCAATTTGTTAGAAATAGTCGGAGTAAAATTCATAGCCATACATTTTTAAAAAAATTGGTGATATGCAGACAATCCGTCCTAGATTCAATTTCCCCCCTCCCCCCTTTTTTTAAGTCTTTATAGGTTTTTTGCCCCAAGCACTGCAACCTTGTATGGGAGCTGTAAAAAAAAGGAAAGGATGGTAGCCATGAACCAGGAAGGTTAGTAAGAAATAAATGTGGGGAGGGGGGGTTGAGTTTTTTATTAAACTAGTTGTGTATTTATTTGTGTTATTAGTTTATAAATTAGATTTGAATTCAGATTTATCACTTTAAAAGTAAGATTGGGATCGCGATGCCGATCTTCCGTCGCTCAAATTCAAAAATGCCGCCAAACAAGGATACCAGGAAGCCGAGCAAAAATTTGCCATTTTTCCCTTGATCATCATAAATTTGTAAACTCTAATATTTCTTTGAAGTTATTAATTTGTTTACACTTTGTAACAAAAAAATGACAGCATATAATAATTTATGCTTTTGATTTGGTTTCAAATTTTCCATACGGTTATGTAGACACTCTAATTGATCTAATTTGAAGATAAGTGCACATAAGTGTCAATTCTATGGGTAATTTGAGTCTCTTTTTTCGAACCAACTGCACCGTAGTGAAATTTGCACGCTTGTTGACGATCGGCTAGTTCATGTCGATTTTCCGCCTTTAAAATTAGTCTTGTCTGTTTTTTCACCGGCATTTCAATGAATTTAGAATTCTCTAAGCTGTGATTTTGCATAGTGTACCTTCATAATGAGTCAGAAACGACGGCTAGCAGTTATCGATCCGTACATCGTCAAAAGACGGTAAGCCTCCTCGCTGCTGATCACCCAATGTTTTTGAAATTTTGCTACTTTTCTCCAACATTACTATAATTTTTGATATTTTCGCAATCATTTTCCTTGAATCATGATGTCCACGCGATCAATCAACTCTTTTTAGGCTGCCTTTACTCTGGATCATGGTTTGTTGTTCAGCCGTTAGATGCTTCCTCAACTTACATGAAATCGATCTCAGGCTCCATGTAGAGATCTTTCCTCAGAGCACACCCTCCTACCGCCCAAAATTTTCTCCTTAGATTTGCTTAATTTGAGGATATCTTAATGTCACTTCCGAAGAGTCGCTGGACGCTCCCAAATCTCATATTGTGTTACGGTATACCGTCCAGGGAACATAAGTACGCAACGTTTATTACTGCATTCTTTAACAGCTTATGCCATTTGAAGTACTTGAAATTGTAGCATCTCTGTCATACTACTTTCCTAGGTTAGTTTCCCTTCAGCACTTGTTAACGCTGTGGAAAGTTCTTGTGTTTTTGTAAACTAACCTCACTTCGTACCCTGCTTGCGCAGCCTGTTACGAGTAGTCTTGAGACTATGATGTCTTGTAAGCCTCGGCACTAGGAACCTTTCACCAACACCTTTTTGTCAAGAGAATCAGATAACTTGTCACATTCATAGTGAACTATCATTCATTGCGAGAAAAGTCATTGTGGCTCCTGCACGTCTAGCTGAAATGTTGGTTTCCTAAGAAGAGGTTCTTGTTTAGAGTTAATGGTTTTCTTCAACAGAGGAGAGATGCACTTTGGTTGCAATCTGCATTTGTGCCGTCAGTTCAATATGATATCCTGACAGCACCTCTTGCTCTAGGAGTAAAACTTTTGCCCTAGATAAAAAATTTTTGTAGACCAAACCTTGTTTGACGCTTTTAGAGCTAATTTTTGAACATGAGCTTAAGGTTATGCAGTTCTAAATATTTTTTAATCATCATGCTAATATCTTTGTTTTTTTTTTCTTTATTTCAGGGAAACTGATGATGTCGCAAGGTAAGAATGGATACCGTGGAAATATTTTATTTTATTTATTAATTCTCAGTTTCATCAAATTATGTCAGTACCCCAAAGCCCAAAAGTACCTAACTCCATTTTAGTCTTTTCGAGATATCAAGAGAAAACCGCGCATTGGCCTCACCGATTCGTATGCAAATCGCAATTTTTGAAACTCCGTATCTCATAACCAGTGTACGATAGGGTTACAAAATTTTCCCCACGCACACACGGAACCTTTAATGTAGATTTTGAACGTGCAACTAGGTAACTCGATTTTTCCAAAAATGTCAGTTTCGTACCCTTTGGCTCTAGGATACTGATATATTCATCGAAAGAAAAGTGAAGAGGATTTGATTGAAGAAATGCCTAGGATGAAAAATAAATGACCTGAAGTGATTGAATTTGCATTGAACATTTAAAAAAATTAAATGGGTAGGTATGTGCAACAAAGTGGTACAATCCACTGGAGAAATACTTTGAGAAGAAGAAAAAAATAGAAAATGCACCCTACATACATATCCAAAGGAACCATTGAAAATGTGTGTATCTCATGTTTCAGCGCAGCTCCAAGGTTCGGGTACGAAAGTAATACCGAACCTCCGAATAAAATTTGCTTAGTTGCTCCCTATCATTGCATGGAGAGTTAAACTTTATATAGAGGTGGACTCTCAGGATAGCATAGGATATCCCCTCCATTACTGTTTCAACTTTAAGAGCCTTCTTTGAATTTCAGAGAAAACCAGTAGGAACATCATGTTTCTCTTGAAAATGTATGAAGGAATCAGTACTTAAATTTCAAATTCCTGACAAAGAGTTCCATTCAGAATGAACAATAAGTGTGCATGTCTGACCAATTTTTTTTTATGTTACAGGTTACCAGGGTCATCCTCAACCACTCCCGCTGTGCCAGCTGTTCCTGCTATCCCAAAGAATATCTCACTCAACCCATACACAAAATTACCTTTTACACCAAGGTAGGTACCAAGATTGCAGGCAAATGTAAAAATGTCAAAACCATGCCCAACTTTAGGTTTCTATTCTTAAAAATGAGAACCTCTCCTTTTAACTCATTTAAACGTAAAAAAGATTTTGCGAGACCCTTGGAAAATTGCGCATATGCCACAATATTGAGGTGATCATTGCGGTATCTCTCATTTTTTTTACAAAAGCGCTTAAAAAGTTGCATTCTATTTTCTTACAAAAGCGCTTGAAAAGTCGCACATTCCATCCGATCCTTAGATGAAAAGTGAGTGATTTCCTTAGATTTCACAAATTTGCCGGGAATATCACGCCTCTTGTGCAATTTCCAGATGAAACCTGCGTCCTACTCTTAATCATAGGTTTTTGTTGATCCAAAATTAGGGCGTTTATGAATAACTTGCTCGCATGGGTAGAAAATCGTTTATTTTCCGCAATATTGCATGACTTTGTGTGATCCTAATCGTCCACTGGGAAATTTGCATTTGTGCATTGGTTTTGAAGTGAAAACTGATACAGAGATGAAAAGTGAGTAATTTATTTTGATTCCACGAATTCGCAGGACTTCAGTTGACAGTTGACTTCTTGCTATCTCCAGATAAAACTCGCATCATTTCCTATTTTTTCACACTTTTGAACCCTTGAATAGGTGTGACACGATATGGTAGGGAAAACATAGCTTTTTGCCGATTTTTAGGTGGATCACCCTGAATTTTTCTCTTATTTCATCAAATCACTAGAAAAATTGCGCATTTATTGCAATATCGAGGTAAAAGTCCAAGAATTTCTCATTTTTTTAATAAAATATCGCTTGACAAATGGCGCATCTCCACTGATACTGAGATGATAAATACCTAGTCTCTTTTGACTTAACTAGCGGCTCGGAAATATCGAGTTGTTGTCGCCATGTTGAGATGAAATTTGTGTGATTTTTCTCTTTTTCACCCGTGGAAATGAAGCGAGCAACTCTTCGAACTCTAGAGTGGGTATGTACCTGCATTGCGCAAAATTGAAGGACATCTTTGCCTTTCGCCTATTTCAAATAATTTATTTCAAAATGATTATCACAGAAAGTGGTTTAGGTGTCATTTTTTCTCTTTGTAATGTATTAAAAAGAAGGAAAAAGTTCTTGCCCCACCTTTAAAGAATACTGTTTGTTTTCAGGTATCAAGAGTTGTTGCGGAAGAGGATCACCCTCCCTGTTTTTGAATATAGAGAAGAGTTCATGAAGCTGCTAGCCCAAAATCAGTGTATTGTACTGGTAGGTGAAACAGGTTCTGGCAAGACTACTCAAATTCCACAATGGTGAGTTTCCTCAAAACGAAGTATACTTTATTGAAAGATAAGCACAAAATCTTTTGTATAGGTTAATTTTTTCAAACCACAAAAACAGGAAAAAGTTCAACCATAATTTTAAATATTAGACTTGATTCCAATGATCTCGGCATAATTGAACCCTAAAAAAAAAATAAAAAAAAAAATAAAAAAAAAAAAAAAAAAAAAAAAAAAAAAATAAAAAAATAAAAATTATCCACACAATACACAAAAATTTGGCGCCAGCTAAATCTCAGTATTTTTTTACATTATTTTTCTTACTGCCTCCTAAGCACAATGAGGTTTTAAAATCGAATTTTCTAACGGCCAAGCTGAAGAAAATCAAGTTTGGGGGCAGGCTGGTAGGGAGGAGGCTGCCACTAGCAGCGGAGACCGGTCGGTGGGCTGGCGCATCGCGCAGGGGAGGAATTCCTTGCATGTATGTTGAGCGCGCTAAGAGCTGTAATATAATGATGATTTACGATTTTGCTTTTCAGGTGCGTTGAATTCTCCCAGTCAATGGGCTCAAAAGGTGTTGCATGTACGCAACCCAGACGAGTGGCTGCTATGTCAGTTGCTCAGCGTGTGTCAGAAGAAATGGACGTCAGTCTGGGCCAAGAAGTTGGTTACAGTATTAGGTTTGAGGATTGCTCCTCGCCAAGGACAATACTTAAGTAAGAAACAATTTTCTGCCCTTTTCTTATTTGAATCAGCGAGTTCAAAAACACCAACTCGGAAAAAAAAAATTGTTCAGGAAACACCTAAAACTGTGCAGCGGGCGAAGAAGTTAGTTTAAGAAAAGCATTTTCGGTGCCAAAGGACAAGTACATAGAGACTTTGTAAAGCACCAAGTTGAAATCGATACACCATGTTTGATGACAGAGAATTAAGCGTTTAAAAATTTCCGAGTTGGTGTGTTTTCGTTCTCGCCGACTTTCAGATACTGATTTTTCATAGTCTGCCCTGAAAAATTTGTATTTTTTGACCTGAATAACACTTGAATATTCATATAACTTGATGGTACAAGGTATACTGAACCGAAAAAAGAAAACCGCAAAATCGAATGGTCACCCGTTCCCTTGAAATGGCCAAGAATTGGTATTTCCAATGAATTACTTCGATTCTTCCCTTTTCCCATCGCTGTTCCGAGCACTTTCGATTGCTATTTCGAAATTTCCCTTCGCGTGCAGATGCTTCTATCCATAAGTGTTACTTTTTAGTTAGATTTAACACAAATATTGAATGATGCTCAGTTAATCATTATCAAGATCAAAAACAATCGAAAACTCTGGAAAACAAGTCAAAAGAAGGTAAATGAAATTGAATAAGTTTCAGCCGATTTTGCAATCATTACTCGGATGATAATTGTAAAAATATAAAAATCAATCAAAACCGGTAAAACTGGAAAAAAGAATTTCTGATCACACAAGATATAAATACCTAAATCTGTCGGTGACTGTGATTCTACCGTAACTCATCTTACATCAAAGTGATGTTTGAACAAATGCTGATAGACAGCAACTCTATCAAATGTAAACTATTTGGTCCTGGCAAGCACCAACAGATAGTGTTAAAAGTCAAATTTATTCGAAGTCTTCATTAATAATTATTTCCCTCAATTATTAAGTTCAATTTTTTCTGTAGGTACATGACTGATGGTATGTTACTAAGAGAGGGTATGTCCGATCCAATGTTAGACAACTATCAAGTTGTAATTCTTGACGAGGCTCACGAGCGTACCCTCGCCACAGATATTCTAATGGGAGTCTTAAAAGAAGTCGCCAAACAGCGATCGGATCTCAAACTTGTCATTATGTCTGCCACTCTAGACGCTGGTAAATTCCAGGTAAGGACCCCTCCAACAGTTTTCTCACTTAAATATGTCTTCTTTGAGAATATTCATAATAAATTTCTTGAAGCCAAGAAGTCTTGAAAAGTGGATAAAAGTAAAGAACGCCCGAGGATTGTAAGAAAATGACAACAATTTTTCCCGTTGCTTGACTATAATTGTACTCTTTTTCTACAAATTCAATCAAAGATTTGAGAAATCTTAAAAGTAGAAAGAAAAGCAGAACTTTTTTAATAAATTTCAGAAAATTGTTTAAATAAATAGAAGACATTATTTTTCCTTCTTCCTCTTCTAATTTCTTGATTTATTTAGGTAGATACTAGTTTGAAATAGTGAGGGACTTTTTATCATTTTAGTAGAGTAAATCTGTAAAATCAAGGGAATTTTTATCTTGGAAGCAGGATTTCTGGTGGTCTGGAAAAAGAGAGGTAGTCACAGGATTTACGGTGACCAAGAAAAGCAGCATATAGGTTAGTATAACTAACANACTAGGGGGGGGGGGGGATACAAGTGGAAGTATGCTTCCAGGTCAGGGAAATCGAAAATTTTAGAGTCAGGGAAAAGCAAACAAACTTTTGGATTCATTAGGGGAAAATTAGGAAAGTAATGAAATTATGGGAATCCTGTGAAATCTGCACACTCCCTGATGGAATTGTTTAGATTTGATAGCTTGTAAACACAACTAAGGATTTTATTTTTCCCACAGCAATATTTTGATAATGCACCTTTAATGAACGTGCCCGGAAGAACGCATCCAGTAGAAATTTATTACACGCCTGAGCCTGAAAGAGACTATCTTGAAGCTGCAATCAGAACAGTCGTCCAAATTCACATGTGTGAAGAAATTGCAGGTGACATTCTGCTGTTCCTCACTGGTCAAGAGGTAATAGTCCCAAAAATTTAAAATTACTTGCCTCCCTGAAGTATGTTTGTACTTAGTAGATGTAGTATTCAGCTCTCTAAATTTTAGCATAAAGATGGAAAAATTGTTTAATAATCTACACTCTTAAATCTCATCCCTCCTTTTGTTTGCAGACCGTTATCTTTTACATCAGATGTTAGACATTTTATGCACCATTGTTAAATTTTGATAATTGTATTATCATATTGCATTAATGGAAAGAAAAATAAGTCATTATACTGAAAAGAGTTGACTTTCATCACCCAATGCCAGTTAATTGACACATTCAGTCTTAGGGTGATCATAGTGATCGATTTTTTGATGCGTATGACAGGTCGAAATGGTCACAACAGTCGACACTTTGAATGGCACATTTTCATTGCATTGGCTGTAATATATAAGGGAGCTATCCATGGGTCGTCAATGAAACTGTCTGTGGAATACTAATCACATATGCAGTTGATAGGAAAAGCTAGTGTCCCGGCAATTTGATTAGTGGAAACCATAGTTTAGATTCTTTGAATTTTGCCCGGTTTTTTCTTTGGCTAGACAGAAAAAATTACATGGAAACTCGTTGGTACCTAGTGAACATCTGAAATAAGTAAATTTGACAAATTGCACGAACATCATGTATTCCTAAGTATCCGTAGATTGAATATTTAATCAATTCATAGGGAATTAATGGCGAATGAAGGAATCTAATTTTACTGTTCCACCTGCTGCCCTTAAACGTAGTCTGTCGTTTGAATATTTTAGCTCAATCTTTTACATAGCTGCTGAGAGAGAGAAAAAAAGTCATGATATAGGAGACAAAGGTTGGAACAAAACCCCTCAACATGTATTCTGTAAACCTAGCATCAATATATCTTTATTAGGTAGGTCTTTTTGTTTCTGTATCATGTTGGTTAAACGTAGAGAGTGTCTTGCCTTAACTGATTATCTTTTCAACAACATAATTCTGCGTTCCGATGCCGTAGGAAATTGAAGAAGCATGTAAACGAATCAAAAGAGAAATTGACAATCTTGGTCCTGACATCGGTGAACTGAAATGCATTCCACTGTACTCTACACTGCCACCAAACCTCCAGCAACGAATTTTTGAGCCTGCGCCTCCCAATAAGGCAAACGGAGCTATCGGAAGGAAAGTGGTCGTCTCAACTAACATCGCTGAAACCTCACTCACCATTGACGGAGTCGTTTTTGTCATTGATCCTGGTTTTGCCAAACAGAAGGTATCAGTCAACTGCCTTTTATCTTCCTCTCATGCACATTTCATTGAAAACTTATTTGAAAAATTGCTTAACAGCCCCTATCCAAAACTAATCTTTTGAGATCACACTAAGTCCAGTATTTTGCCCAAACTCAAACTTAATTTCTTCGTTTTCAACCATTTTCTTGTTGTTCTCTGCCTTGACAGCGCTCCATCATATTAGAAGGCTTAAAATGGAGCAGTGGCAAGGAATTTTTGGCATGGTTGTGGCATAATTTCTCTTTTGTTAAATTTTGTGAAAAAACCAAAAAACTTAATAAAAAGTTCAAAAAAGCATCGCTATTAGAAGACACAGTAGATCAAAATTAGACTGATCAAAAGCCAGCAGTCAAGTTGACACAGCAGGGCAATGCCTGATGTTGAGTTCTCCTAATTAGGAAACGCTGTCTTCCTTCCTTGGCTATGTCATCAGTGCTTGCCAAAAATATTTTTTCAAACGGATTCCATTCTTGGCATTTTCGAAAGTGGGGTTTCTTAGCCTTCTAGGGTTAAAAAAAATCAGAAAAATTTCATAGAGGCCTAGTTCAGTTCGTAATTAAAGAAATGGGCGCCACTGGCCAATTCCCTCCACTATCTTCTACTGTGAGGCACACACATGTTGCATGGATATGAATGGCTTCACAAACTCTTTTAGGTATAGACAAGAGACCTTTTACAACTATTACTTTTCATCAAAAGTCTTTCGGCTCTCTGAAAGCTGACAACGCAGCCGGTGCTAATTAGTCAGAAGCCTTATCAGTCTCGACATTCAGTCGCTAAGTTGTTGCACTCTCGTCAATTTTAAACAAATTAATAAGGGTTCGCATCCTCATTTCAGGTTTACAATCCCCGAATTCGTGTCGAATCCTTGCTAGTTTCCCCGATCAGTAAAGCCTCTGCGCAGCAGAGGGCTGGTCGTGCCGGCCGTACTCGTCCTGGCAAATGTTTTAGGTGAGTTGTTTTCTTATTAATACTGGAATTTTATTTGGAATTGCTATAACCCACATAAAAGACTTCTTGCAAAATTTTGTTGATTTATGGATGTAGAGTTTTTCTAAAATACGTGGGAAGATCTTTGATCAAAAGATTGATTAGGATATGTTTGATCTCTCTATCGAGAGGTGTTGAGTTCAGCTTGAATAAAATGTAACAGAGAAAAGCAGTGAATTATTAGGAAATATAAACACCGAGGGTTCCCATTCACTAGAAAATCTGGAAAAATTGAACAATGTTAAAAACTCAGGGAAACGAAGAGAATCCCTCTCTGAATTCACAATATTTGTCACATGAAAGAAAGAAAAACGCAAAGGTGAAGCCAATATCTAAGTTAAAAAGTACGTATGTACTTCAAATAGCTAGGTAAACTATGTGGAGGCTGATTAATATTGAAGCCAAACGATGGAAGGTAAATGCCAAGTGTATTATACTTTGGATTTCATCGCCTCATCGGTAGACAAGGGACATTTTTTGGGAACTTTTCAAGGCCTGGCACAAACTTAAACATGCCTCATTAAGTTGTACTGTGCTTTTTTGCCCTAATTAGATCAAATTCTATTAAAATTAGAGGTAAACTCAGTTGACCACCCTTGATGGGACAACTGAAGTACTCAAGCTTTTCTATAAACAAGAGTTCAGCCGGTGAAAAATTGTATCTTAATTCATTATTATTTGTCCGCAGGTTATACACAGAGAAAGCTTTTAAGAATGAAATGCAGGCGAACACATATCCTGAAATCTTAAGATCCAATCTGGGTTCAGTTGTGTTGCAACTTAAAAAATTAGGAATTGATGATCTTGTACATTTCGATTTCATGGATCCTCCAGGTAAGAGAGGTTTCAATTGCACATCTTTAAGAAAAACCTGATCAATTATATCCTTAACAGATTGCACCTGTATTATAATCCAATAATTTGAGTGGGTCTGTTCCACACAACCTTGATGACATCACCTTGATCGATTTATATGCATGAAAGATCACAACTTGTGTCTATTGACTGTTGCGTCTTGTTCCTCTATTCTTTGCAATGTTTGCCGGTCAGGCCTGACTCGGTGCTGTGAGGATGATCTCTCATTAGATGGCGAGCCAGATAATGGCTGCTTTGTCTACTTGCCCAATCCTGATTTGTGTCATAAGATCTCTCTGAAATAGGAAGTAGAAAATTAGAAAGCTGGGCTGTATTGATCTGCCGAGTTACTGGAAAGAGCCTTAAGTGCAAAAATGAAGTTTTATGGAAGTACGCTGAGTAGGGTCTGAGTTGAGAATTGTATTGAAAGAAGCCTCCACCCTTTGTGAAATTCTACAGCTAATTTCTGACTGAACGTTACTAGTGTTGTGTCAAAACAACGTAACTTCAAAGGGACAATTGTACTTGAATGAGTTTTTTCCCCTCTGTAGTCAAGAATCTCTACATAAGATATCGACGGTGTAAGTCGGCAATCACATAACTCAGATTGCGGCGTTGCAGACTTCCTGTCATACTTTATTTTTTAAACGGAAAACTACTCAACGGCAATTCTTTGAAACTGCCGTGATTTTTCTTCTCTGTGAGAAGAAAATTCTGCAAAAACTCAAAGGAATGATGTCTATTTGTTCTCCCTTAAAAAAAATAACAAAGACACCGGAAACAAGATATGTGATTGTGGACTTATGCCGTCAATATGCTGTCACATTGGCCAATCTATATGATCATAATCTGTCGTCAAGTTTGTTCAACAAGAAGGAAACTAAAGTTATTGGTCAATATGTTGTCACATTGGCCAATCTATATGATCATAATCTGTTGTCAAGTTTGTTCAACAAGAAGGAAACTAAAGTTATTGGTGTTGTTAAAAGGATAAGGGTAAAAAATATGTGTGAAAACATTTGTGTAAAAAACATTGTAAGAACATTGCAGCAGTAAACCTCTGTAATTGTATTTGCAGCTCCGGAAACCCTGATGAGGGCATTAGAATTGTTGAACTATCTTGCTGCGCTGGATGATGATGGAAACCTGACAGATCTCGGTGCCATTATGGCCGAATTCCCCCTCGATCCACAACTAGCAAAAATGCTCATCGCCTCCTGTAATCACAACTGCTCCAATGAAATTTTGTCCATCACAGCAATGCTGTCAGGTACTCATTACTCATGTTCGATATCGCCTCCGAGCGTTTACTTGTGGCCAAAGTTCAACTTCAACCTTTTTCTGAACGCGGCAAGCAATATTGGCCTGGTATTAATCACCAAAGCGTCGAATTTATTTGGTGGAGCATGTTTTCTTCTAAAATCGCGATTTTTCAGTTGAGAGGGGGGAGCATCGCGACTCTTTGTGAATAATGGACGAAAAAAGGTCCCAGCTTTGAAAATTTTGGAGAAAAGAGAGTTTTAAAATAGGAAGGTAAAAAACTTATTGCCCCTTAGCTGCAACCCAAATTTTGATGTTTCAGTCATCAGATCCATTAAATCTCTCAAAAATGTTTGCTCTTGTCAGTAACAAAATCTTTGTGGCAAATTATCTTATTAACTGATCTCTTCATTGTATGATTAAATCAGGGTCCTTTTCCATCATTCAAAATCTTTTATTTTCGTCAACTCTTGTCAAGCTTACCTGGTGACTAAGCTCAATTGTCTAGCACTGTTCTGCTTTTTGGCTTCTTGTATCTTGTATTTCTCTTTAAGTTGCAATCTTGCTGAAACTTGATCGAATGACTAATGTATTTGTGAGCAGAATTAGATTCATTGTTTTCTGATTCAAGCTGTAATCAGCCGCGTAAGATTCTATCGGTCAGCGTGTATTAGAAAGGAACCAACTTTGACTTATTTTGGAACAACACTTCTGCAATCGATTGCTCTTAGCAGATATGTGCTTTCTTAAATTTGCCTTTCTTTTAGTTTCTTCCTGCTAGATTCTGCAAAATTTCATGTGGGCTACGTCATTTATCTTTTTGGGTAACACTAAGTTGTTTTCTTCCCTTGTAACCTGGAAAAGTCAGGGAATTTTGCCTTACCCTAAAAAGTTAGGGACTTTTGCTGAGGAACTGAACGTTCTTTCCTCTGGCCAAGACATTTAATAATTTTTGCCCCATGCTCAATCGATGAATATTAGAAATTCTTGAATTTTGAATTTTTTCAATTCCAAGAGACTTAGCGCCACAAAATTTTTGTGAAAAGGATTGTCATGAAAGATTATGCTCAAAGCAAGATTGAAAAGTCAGGGAATTTTGGAAGCCAAGAGAACTTGTCACCCTGAAGAGGAAATTTTCCCATATAGACACTTTTTACCCCACTTATTTCTTCTTTAGCAAATAATGAGGGATAAAACCAGTAAAGTGCAATAATTTTTTACCTTTGTGGTCTTAACTCATTCTTGTGACCCTTATGCAGGGTGAAGAAAATGCCCAAGAAAAAGGACGTTTTTTAATAAAATTGGAACTAATTTTTACTGCAAAAAACTTTTTACTCTGGTGACGATTAGTCACACCCTATGATAAAACTCCATGCTGCAGTACTTAATTTTTACATTTTCATGTCCCATGAATTTATTCCATCGTCCGATTTAATTATGTATCTTGTTGTATGGAGGCGGATTGTGAATTTAAAAAAATGACTTAAAAGAGTCCCTGTATCTAAGAAAAATGATAGCTCCAATGTTCGCAGTATTTTAAAAATGTCATGAAAATCTGCGCGATATCTGCTTCATTGGAGTGTCCTGCGGACGCTTTTTTTTATCAGTCAATAATGAAGTAGATATCTTCGCGGCAAGATTGTAACTTATTGATAGCTCGTAGGTATTTTTGGCGTTAACTAAATGGTTGGATGGTCGGGAACTTGTCTGTCCCCCTCCCTTGCTTGTTTAGTCCCACAGTGCTTCATCCGACCCAACGAAGCGAAAAAAGCAGCTGATGACGCCAAAATGAGGTTTGCCCACATAGACGGTGACCATCTGACGCTCCTCAATGTCTACCATGCTTTTAGACAGAGTAAGTAAAGCTATCAATTTCTCTTTACTTCTGCAATCTCAAGCAGCTCTATTTATCACAATTCTGTTCTAGGTGTTTTACTTTTTTTTTTCTGATGAAATAATATGTTTTATTAACCCATTCCCTAACAATTTGGTGTGACTTGCTCCCAACTTAATAATTTAATTTATCTAAAATCAGTACCTTTGAGAACGTCTGAATAGTCCCAAAAATTCATCCAATGATGCTGATTGGTTTACGGACAGTAGGTCTACAAGAAAAAGGGCTACAAAAAAAAGGATTACCTTTTTTGGTCTACAGTCAAAATGTCTACATGAAAATGCCTATTAAAATAATGTCTATAGTAAATTATGTCTGCAGTATTAAAATGTCATTCGTTTGACTGCTTACTCAAAAAATGTCAAAATAAGTGTTTATGTCGTCTAAAAAGAATCTCATTTGAAGGTGTATCCCCAAAGACAGGACGAGTCTGTGGATGCTGCAGAAGCTGATGCGTAAAAATTGTGAGTCACATTTCGCGAATAATTGATTCTATAAATATCAACATGTATATTTCATATATATTTTATTTATTTCTTTATTTTATAAATATATTTTATATATTTTTAGTGGCCAACAAATATTTTGACATTTTCTAAGTCGGCAAACAAACCGTAGACATTTTAATAGCGTAGACATATTTGACTGTAAACATAATTTCAGTAGGCGTTTTAATGTAGACGTTTCGACTGCAGACTAAAAAAGGTAGCCCATTTTTCTGTAGACGTACTGTTTGCATACCTGCTGATTATAGGCATACTGTGGACACATAACACAGTCAGTTAGGAAACAGCAACCAACTGCCATTATAAGCTTTCATCATGCTTTTTTACAATTTTGAACATCAGGAAAAAAATAGATTTGTTGAAATTTTACTGTTCAACAAAAAATTTCAAGAAATTATGGAAGCGTCCAAATTTTCTGCGCAGTCCAATTTTATTCATCATCTTTATTCTTTTGACTTATTTTCCCATTATTGAGGAATCGAAATTTGTAGTTTGATGGGAACTTTTGATAACTTGTAACTTTTTTTCTGTCTCAACTTCTGTAGACTCGGAAGACCCACAATGGTGTTATGATAACTTCGTCAACTACCGATCATTAAAATCGGCTGATAATGTAAG